AACATTTTTTAATTCTAACAACTTGTGTTAATATTTTAGTTTTTAAGGCAAATTTTATATGATGTTCTTTTATAATTTTATACTGCATTTATACTGCTATTTCTAACAAGATTTTATGTATTAATTTAATATATGTCAATATAAATGTCTTGGCCTATAATGGTATATTTTATTTTAAGTATAGTGACATTTTAATTTTAAAAAGTATTACAACAAATTTTCACAACACTGCTATATCAATCTTTCATAAATTGTATTTTTAGAGGTTATTGTTATTTGTTGCAATGAGCCAACTCAAAAAAAGTATCAGTTGCTTCGTAAAACCGTAAAGTTGTGTTTTAAGTGTTAAGAGATTCTCGGCATTTGAGTTAGCCACTTTGTTTATTGCTTGGAAATAAAAAATATTCATGAAGTAAAAGTAAATAGCTATTAGGTAAATTGGGCTTAGACATGCACTCTGCATTTCCAATTACACTTATTCGCGATGAATACACAGTTAAATAAGGATAATAAAATTCCTATATAGGTATATTTACGTAATTAGTAAAATAATAATACCTAATAATATTAGGATACAATAATAATATAAAAACAAAATCAAGGGTCTGGCATCTTCCTAGCTATTTCTTTAAGGGCATCGTTAACTGACAGCAATGCTTCAGCAATCTTTGCTTTCATAGTAGGCAAAGGTATAATCACATACAGCCAATAGTGTAGATTATTTTAAGATTAAAATAATTTGCTTGCAGAAAAATTTATTAATAACGTTGCAAATAATCAGCTGATCAATCGTTTTTGTAGTATTTATTTATTAGTCTTGTTTTTGAAACGATTTGCCATTTCAAAGCTTTACTCCTGTTTTATCGTAATGTGTTGAACAACTCTAATGCGGCGGTTACGTAGCTAACTTCAAGTGTCACCGTCGTCATGGCAACGCAATCGCCGGCCGATACCAATTTCAATCCAATTTGACAATATTGTTTTCAAGAGTACCGATTATAGTGACATTGAAATTGAAATTGGAATTGGATTACTATTGGATTGAAATCGGAATCGAATTCAAGAGTAAGGCCGCAGGTCTGTAAATATAGTACAGAAAATAAAAACTAAAGTATTACTTACCAGATTTTTATATTTATTCTGTGAATTCGGATCGTTGATCACATCTATGCTACTTATGGCATGCTATAATGTCAAAAGCATTTCATGTATTGTACATTCTATAAATTCTTAGCTCTTCGATTATATTTTGCATGGTATGTGCCAATCACTTCAATTTCATGATACATTGCACTACTTTAAAACCAACGTTCCTCTCACACATACTTATTTTTGATTTCATCCTACATATCATTACCGGCAAAAATATGTTTTTAAAGCGGTGTGTATTTTGAATGAAAAATCGTACAATGTTAATATTTGTGTACACTTCGTACACCAACCTCTTGGAAATATGAAAATATACAGAAAACAGTAAAGTCTGAGATAGGCCAGCAGGCAAAGAATTACTTAAAGTTTTATAAATAACATACAATATCTAATATAACAAGCGGAAGATTGAGACCAATTTGGGCAACTTTGCCTCCCCGAAATGAGTACGATATTAAAATTTCATTCAATCTACGGATAAGCCCGACATGCTTGAGATTTCACATTAAAATATTCAAAGCGTTAACTTTGCCCTTTTTTGTCTTTATTCACACTCGGCAACGGATGAACATAACTTCGGTAGCAAAGTTAGAGTAAGTTTTAGGTTATGAAAAATGGTGGTGGTATGTGCTCGAAAAGTTTCCGACTTTGTGATTCGGTTAACAGGGCAATTCAGCTGATATTATATTATTACAGCTGGTTACATTATCTGTAAAAAATAATTCAATTTTATCAATACGGTCTTATTGACGAGAGATAGAAACGTCCTGACTCTCCAGTGTGAATCCCGTATTGTTTCTGGATATTATGTGTAATAAACGAGAACAATATTGTTCTCGTTGTGTCGAGTGTCGATATATGTTATGACTCGACACATCTTGAGTTTAATATTATTTCCTCAAGAACTGTGATACAAAAACGAATGGAAAATGTTGCTACAAAGGTTGACTCGCTCGCTTGTCAGAAAGAGTACTTGTTATATAAAATGTGGCAGTTGTACTATTTTAGATATTTTTTATTTTGTCTATAAATTAAAACAAAATAAAAACTTTTAGATAAAAGAAGAAAACTCTCAGTAAACAACTTTTCTTATACAAATAAAAAATACTTTCTACAAAATTATTTCTTCAATAACAGTAATAGAAAATTGATAAAATATTGAAATGATGGACGTCAAAACCAGAGTTTTAAGACTGGTATTATGTTTCTCTTACATAGTGAAAACAAAAGTTGTCTCGAAATTATTTTTGTGAAAGGTCATATCTTTGGGGATAGATGAGCGTATAGCGGGCAGCGAATTTCTGATGACACGTTTTGTTCTTCATACAAATTAATCATCAGAAAGTCGTGGGTAATGTACGAATAAAAGAAGACTCGAGTCAAAGAGAGAAAAAACTTGTCCTTATTTATCTGAGAGGTGGGTTACACATCCTTTTACAGAATATTGTCTTTCTTAATACTGGAGTTCACCTGAAATTTGCCATATAATCGTTACAATTACAGTTACTTAGAGAGTAAATGCCACTCACTGTCAATAAAAGAAGCCCATTTAATATATGGTTATAGGTTTGCCTTTAATATTCAGAGAGTCGATAACTGCTTTGGAATTATATATCCTTTCCCGATTACATGATAAGATCAACTAGAAAATGCAAGAAAGTAAAGTGCTTAAACAAAAATAGAATGATGTAAATCGGTCAAAACGTTTTTCAGCGATGAGATAGAGAGAAGAGGGTAAGATAGAGATGTATAAAAAATGGATGGCTAAAAAAAATTGTGAGCGTATGGACTAAGCGAAAACGCTTCTAAAAACGCTCCGATCATAACATAGGAGGAGACTAAAAATATCTCTCCTTTATAATACCTTGGATAAACAAGTAATTTGTTATAAATGACCCAGCTTTCCTAATCGTTGGCGATTGCTAGCTGTGTCTATGACACTAAAAATAAAACTTATTTCTTTCACTAAACAAATACAGTATTTGGCTGTCAAGACTCACTTTCCCTTCATGAAACGTCAAACCGGCGTTCTATAAAGATTCATAAAAACGATATTGTGTATTGCTTATAATTTATATAAACAACCTCGTCTTTGTTGTTTAAAATCTGAACTAATTTCATTTTATTGTCCGTGTGACGATTTAAGAATACGGATTGTCACCCCTATTCATCCCGTGGGTGTCGTAAGAGCCGACTAAGGGAGCAAACTACACATGACAAAACAGCACTGCAAAAAGAGAAGGAAAACTTGACACAGACCCTTGTACCAACCAGTCTGGCCAGTCTGGCCAACGTGGTATAGTAGGCCAAAATCTCTTCTAAGGAGAGGCTAATGTCCAGCAGTGAACTATTGAAGGATGATGATGATGATGAAAATTATAAAATGTTATAATGATGAATGCTGATCTCATAACCACCTATTGGTTAGGACTGTTATATTGTTAGTGGTAGTGATAAAATAGTAATCCACTGTACTGAACAAGTAACATTATTGCATCTAAAACAAAATCATTTTTAAAATTTTAACTACACATAACAAATATCAACAAGACCAAACAATTATTAAATTGTATTAAATTTTATTGCGTTTATGATATAATTTATAAAATAAATATTAATTTTAATTTAAGATAGTTTGTTTTGTCCTTGTACAGGTAGGTAAAAGGTTTAAAATTATCAGTAACACTTATAAACTTCCTATGTTGCTTGGTAATTGGTTTTAATTTATTATGTTTTCATTTTCTATTAAATGAAAGCCTATGAACAGGGTATTTATTGTAATATAATTCAATTATATGTAAAGCAGTCTCTTCTGGTATTGAACATTTGATAACGGCCCCGTCTTTGTTTTAAGCTTGGACTAATTTCATTAAAACAGTTCTTCAAGTAGATCGTAATCCACTTGAAGAACTGTTTTGATTTATAGTTATTGAAATCTAGTTACAAAAGTTAGGAGCAATTCTTCTAGCGTCTCAAAGGCTACATTGTCCGTTTGTGTTTAAATGTATTTGTTTAAAACTCAAGTTAGTGAATATGTAATTAATAACGAGGTTTATGGGTAAGCGACTTTACGTTACAGAAAATTGCACTGAAAAAGAACGCCTAGCATTACACTAAATATAAGATTGACTCTTCTTTCAAAGCGAATGTTGAAAGAAATTAAAGGTTTTGTTCACAAGTGTTAGGCTCTCACTAAGACCTATTTATTTTTTTATGTCGAAGTATTATTTAGTTTAAATGATGATTTCTACTATAAAAACTACTCTATGACAGACAGACAGAAAGACAGACAGACTCACTTTTACACTTTCACATTCATTATATTAGTAAGGATAATACTACTGTACTTGTTTGTATGATAAGTACGTTTCAATAGCTGTTAAGTTAATTATATAATCTTAAGATTTAATAGATGCTATGCATTTTCAATTTCCTCTTCCTGAAATCTTAACGTCGTCTTAAAGAGATAAGGCTGATAATTGTTTTATATTTTCTGTAAGCACTAGTGTACTTATAAAATTTCATCATTGTCATCAGCCTTTAATAGTCCACCGCTGGACATACGCCTCTCCTTAGAAAGGAGGTTTTGGCCTACTATACAACGCTGGCCAGACGGGTTGGTATTGGATTTGTTTCAAGTTTTACTTCTCTTTGCAGTGCTATTGTCCTCTGGTTGCTCTCACAGTCGGCTCTTACGACACCCACGCCACGGGATGAATATGGGTTGTGACACTCCATATTCTTAATCTGTCATCACACGGTCAATAAAACGTAATCTAAATATTTATCTGTCATAGTACCTAACGTACACTTACAATCCAATTTTAAATCTGTATTTTTTCTGTCCACAGAGCTATGTAGCGCTGCGACTAAGATCCAGGCCTCGTTCAGAGGCCACCAGGCTCGCAAGGAGAAGGAGCAGGCCCAAAAAGACCAAGAACAACAGGATAAGGTAATGTTTTATTAATTTATCTGATTAACATTTATTTAGTATAGATGCAACAAGATTTTTTGGTTGCAAAAAGGCCTCCTACACAAAGAGGACGGTTAGGTAGCCCAGATTTAATGTCCGAATGCGTTTGAAAGAAGTGGCCATTTTAAGGCATAGATATAGAGGCAAAGTACCAGCACTTATAGTAAATTCGTTTTAAGAAAATAGTGACTACCCTAACAGACCAAGTTCCAAGCCCTCGTATGAAACAATGATTTCTTAGAACCTTATTGGTAACGGGGGCGGGACTTGATTGATGTGTCACTATTGTAACCCAAATTAACTATTTATAGTTAGTGATGTCATTTCAACGAAATGCAATTGACATCACCAACTAAGTTGTCTTAAAATACACACATAAATCAAGGTCAATGAGGGTTAGTTACAAAATCTTGGTTAGTATTCGGAGGCGTTAACAGTACCTAAAGATATCTTATTACCCGCAAACATTACCTAGTATATTATTCTTACATTTCATAATAAACATAAACCTTTTCGTTACAGGAGGACATCGAAAAGATTGACCTAACTGATCCGGATCTTAACAAGGCCGCAACTAAAATTCAGGCCTCTTTCCGAGGCCACAAAGTGCGTGCTACCAAATAAGAACTTCAGGTCGTAACAGGACAGGATTATCTCTGACTTCGTAAACACGTAACTAAATTAACAATTGTTATTTAAATAATTCGATTAAAAAAAAATGAACATAAACAGTAGCACATTCAATTTTGAAATATGAACATTTTAAAATAGTTTTTATTTCATTTAAAAAGATGTCTATCATTTTGTCTAATATTTATATGTAATTGAATTTAACATTATTGAATCAGAATGTAAATAGAAATGTGGGTAATGTCGATTTATATAATCATGTTATGTGTATCTAAGTAAATTCATGTTCCGAGGTTGTATTGAATGTGTTTAGCATACATACGAGTACATAGTATGTGACATTTCTAGTCTAATGTGGGTACATTATTTGCCAAGTCAGCAAAGAGCTTGCATTGTTTTATTGTGAATACGAAGTCAGTAGTTGATTGTTTATTAGAAAAGAAAAGTGAGTAATCGTGTATGGTATGTCAATTCTACTGTTTAAATATTGTCAATTTTCGTCTTTTACTTATCATTGTTATATCTTGCAGAAAATTGTTTCTTGATTAAAAATAGAGATCTTCAAGTGTTAATATTGTGGTGAATTTGAATTTAATATTTATTGTTTTATACCTACTAAAGAAAATGTATGATTTTCGAATATAAATGTTTAACCATAAGGCATAGGATTGACGTGTCTCATGAGTACTAAAAAGTAGAAAATACCAATTGATATGAATTGAACTATTTATAAAAGATATAAGGTATTTATCCCGTTTTTCTATTCATAAATATTGATCACATTAATTCGTGTATGTTTAAGTCAATACAGACACTTTGATTTCATCAATAACATTCCATCTCCACTATTCAATGTTTGTTGGACGTTCATAACTTTATTTTAGAATAATGTAGTTTTAAGATTAACAATATTTTGTAGCATCTGAACAGCTTCGTTTTTGAATATATAACTTATAATGTTTTAACATAATGATTGTGTACACTGATTTGTTTATTTAAAATAATTTTCATTTGTTATTTATTACCGATTTCGCTGGAATTTCCTGTAAATTGCTGGTATGTTTAGGGTCTATATTAAATAAAATATTTAATATTCGCCTATATTACATATTTATGTTGTTGTTTTGTATTTATTATTCTGATCAAAGTTCCTTCCCTCGACAAAGGAATAACAAACTTAAAAATGAATCAGCTTTTATGTCGGAAACTTTCTGAGTATGAGATTTTTTATCTCTATATTTAAACTTCGCATATTCTTCGACGTAGCAAAAGCTGGAGTTCATCTTAGATCAACGAGAACCATGACGAACTATTAGCAAAGTAAGTTATTATGTTATATATAGTATTGTAATGACCTTCATAACTAATCGTTTGGATATGAAACATTGAGGCAGAGGATGCAACATTGGCCACCTCAAATAAACAAACAATATACAAATATTGCTACCGCCGCACTCTGAAACTAAGATATAAATATCGTCGCAACAACGATGCTATAAGTAAGTCTCTCCAGGACCTGAACCCTTGACCGTCGACCGGTTCAATATAAGTTATCACACACACACTAGGCACTAGCCATAGTCTGTACCTTAGAAACAAGACTGCAGATAAACATACCTAATAATATAGTCCTGTTACAGACGTATTACGCCTAGGCATTATTTTATTATTTAACTTTTTAGGGTGGGATGATTGTTTTATTTGATTTGTGACAGATTTCTTTTGGTTGTGTAAATTCGCCATTTTATATAGGTAGTTAGCGTTACTAAACTTGTTATTTCTTACTAAATAACATTCCATTAGACAATCAATTTATGTAGAAATATTGCGATTTCGTTATATATGTAACCGACCGCCCTATACGAAGTATTAACTGCTTTTAATATTTACTCTAGTGATTAACCCCAGAACTTTCTAGTAATGCTCAATTTAAGAAAGAAAAGTATACCACGAATATTTCACCAAATAACAATACGGCTTATAATATGACCTTTAAGAATTATTGACTAATATAGTGCTGTAAATGTTGTAACCTTTTTAGGGTGAAACAAATCTCATAGTATAGCCAATTTTCGTCTTCCCTTTTTTACCTACACTGTTTTAAATAATAAAATTAGGAAATATTTGAAGTATCAAACAAAAATTAGCAATCCAGTTTATGGAGTCAACGGCCTGGGTAAACTTTTTTCTGTCATCTGGCGGATAAATTATCATAAACACCATAATATACGAAATTCATTTTTCCTATTAAACATCTGAGGAATACTTTTTTGTTTTGGATACAGTGGAAGTCATTTTTTATTTTAAGCGCCTCGCGATTTGTCAGAAAGTAGGTTTCACCCTCATCAACGTCAGCGGTTGCTATCTCATGTTATTGTTCATTGAAATCGACAAAGGAATGAAAATTCCACATCAAATCAGTATGGTATCGTAATGAATTTTTGTATTAAAATGTTTGTCTACGAATTATTGTACTGTCCGTTTTAAATTGCTTGACAATGCAAAAGCGTTTAGGCACTGATAATCTCTTGTCACCGAAGAACTGTTTTCTTGTTTAAGTTTGTAATTGAATTTAACATAAAGTAACCACAGTTCTTATTTATTAAACTTTATTAAAACGTACAAATTAAAAAACCCTGTTCCCTAAACAGGGTTTTTTAATTTGTACGTTTTCATCGTATATATTTACGAGTAACGACGATTCTTACAATAAATTGTAGCCGTGTATGATTCGTTCTCTATTGCACAAATAATTGCCCGAAAATGTAAGCCACTTCACGTGAATAACCTACAAGAACCCGACGTAGATACTCCTTAGAACTGGCTGAACTCCTTAGCTCCTACACAGGTAACCACATCTTATGACTTTCTAATACATAAGACCATTTTTTAGATAATGTTACTTTTTCTAAAAAACTCCCATGTTTTGTATGAAATGGAAACTGTAAATGATATTTGGATATTGTATAAACCTACTTAAATAACTTTGGCATTAACGCAATCCGGTACCGAGGTCCATACATTCATGGTCATTCTCCTTTATTTATTTGGATGAAAAACTATGATTTGGGATCTTACAGTTAATCTGATGATGAAGTCACAAGTTTGACAGTAGATTTTTTTAGTGGCTACTTTTTTATTCAGTTCTTATTTAAATCAAGTTATTTTTTTTACTTATTTATACTACAGTATGGATACTTTAGACCAGTTTTATACCACTAATATAATATACTTATAAATCTTCCAAACCAGTATAATTCTTCCAAAATACTAATTACAATTTCGATAAAATAGTAATACTGTACAGGCACTGATGTGATGTCCCTCCAATACAAAGAGAGGATATTCCAACCAGGCGAGCTGATCATGCCAGGCGGACCGCTGAACAACAATAAATATTTTTGAGTTGTATGTGATGTATGGCTGCTGGCCGCATGTGGCCTTGACTTTCAGTGAGCTTTGAAATCTCTCAACCGGTTGATATTAAGTAGTTACAAATACATTTATAGATTCCTGTATGAATACCCAAGAGATAATAATAGCTGTTTCTTACATTAGTTAAGATCTACTTGGAAAATCAATGTATAAGTAATATGAATCCTCATCATCATCATTCAATAGTCCACTGATAGTCATAGGCCTCTCCTTAGAAAGGAGGTTTTAGCCTATTATACCACGCTGACCAGACGTGTTTTTGCAGTGCTGTTGTGCTACGTAGCTTGAGCTTAGATGGCACACGGACAGAAATAATATGAATATAATTAAAAATAGGTTGTTGACTGACAGTAACTTTAAGTTACTGTCAGATAACAAACAACGTACCAAACGGTTTAAATACAGCACGTTATTATTTAAAATAAGGTATTTTCATTTTCAAAATTCTCGGTTGACTCCTTTTATAGGAAATAAAATGAAGCTTGTGCACTCGCCTTAATTACAGTTACCAATGTACTTTATTGTAATTAAATGACGAAACCATAAATAATTTATAATAGGTATCGATTCAGTTGACCAGAATTTAGGTACGGCCACATGTTGTTTAAATTATTATACTTGCCAGGACTCACTGGTTGAAGTCTAAGAATCGAAGGCATTTTAGCACCATGTTCCCCATAGATTATTCCAATGGAATTTCTTCTAAGTTGAAAAGGTCTATTTCTAGCGTACTTGGGTCTATTGAGTTTAATTTCAGTATCTTTCCATGTCCTCCAAATTCTTCCTACAGAATTTTCAGGCTGTAGATTTATAGTATTACTTTGATATCCTAGATTTGGCTCGTATATATCCTGAACAACTTCCTTAACAGGAGATGATAATATTTGTGGTACTTCTGGGGCATATGTATTCACAGGATCTAAAATATTGGATCGTGGGTAGCAATTACCTTCGTTGTAAATGGGTGAGTTGTTTTCAGTCATTAACTTTAAATAATTGCTATATGCTGTCTGATAGTTTGGAACATAAGTGTCATATGTATGTGTAGATACAGGATTCAATGTTTCAGTTGCCCATGGTTCACTTTTATATTCATCTACAGTAATTTGTTCAGGATATGATGGTAGTCTTCTTTCCTCGATTTCCTGGTAATTATGATCCTTTATCCTTATAACTTCAGGTGATTCTGTGAAAAACATATATAACACTACAAAGGCTGTAATTTATGTTTTAAAGAAATTGAACTTCAAAAGTATGGTGAATGTTTAAGTCATATAATTTCCTTGCTATACATTATATAACGTTAAAAAAAAAAAAACACCCAAAAGGTTTTAGAAAGTTATTTAGAAGCAAATTGCGGCATAGATTGGATCTACTACACCGAGAAAGTACTTGCACCTTCCGAAAACTGTATAGATTACATAAATTATGTAGGACCGGCGTTTCGTTTGAAATAACATTACAGTGCTTTTTTCGCAATAAACGTATGATCAATATTAAACTTACCAATTTCAGGGTCAACTGGAACTGAAACAATAGGAGTCTCTTTCACAGCAGTTTCAATGTATTTGTTGTCAGATAGGTTATCATCAGGATCTTGAGTATCATAGTCAATTGCGATAACCGCCATAGTAGTGTTCTCACTTATTGGTGCTGGTATTATCCCCAATTCGTTGTGAAGAAGAGTTAAAGGATTTTCCTTTGGTACGTAGTCTTGCAAGTTTTTATCAAGACTTTTATTTACTTCTTTAGATTTTATTTCATATTGAATAGATAGTGGTAATTTTGAAATAAGGACAGAATGTGTCCCGTTTTCTATATTTATAGTTTCATCACAATTACAAACTGTCTCATGTTTACGTGTCTCGTGTTTTAACTCATTATCAGTTTCTTTTTCTGGTTTTAATTTTGTTGAAGAATCGTGGTTATTTTTCATCTTCTTGTTTTTTTTTGGATTTACTGACTTAGGTTCTTTCAGCAAAGATGTATCATTACTATCTCTTGTATCTTCAAAAAATTTAGAATTTTTAGATTTATGATTGCGAACAGACTTATTAGTAGATTTAGACTTAACTTTATCTTTTATAGCTACATTTTTTCTTGAAGTTGGTTTATTTGAACTGGAAGAAGTTGGTGACGTAGTTTTTGAGTTTCTTCTGTCCGTATTGCCTTTTAAACGTATATAATGTGCTGGGGCTGGCTTTACATTACCTGTTTTGATAGTTAACGGAATTTTAATAGGTATTGTCCTTGGTTTCGTGTCAATAACCAAATTAAGTGGTACCTGCGTGATTTTTGAAGTAGAATTATTTTCTTTAAGTTCTCTTCTAGTACCTGATAATATATGAAACAGCTTTTCTTCAACTCTATTCTTATTTTCTGTTAAAGCAACTGGTTCATTTTGTATAGAGTTTCCTCTACTATTGTCCACGACATCCTTCTCTGGTATTTTAGTTGTGTCCGTTAGTATATTTAAACCAGTCTGAAATGTAATTTTCAAATTTAATTAAAATAATTTTAAGTTCCGAAGAAATAGTACAGTAATACACTAGTAAGTATTGTATATTAATGATATACTGACAAGAATATATATTAAATTCGACCTTTGAGTGTGATATTTACAACATTTTTATGGCAAATTTAAAAAATCAACAATCAGTTACTCAACTCAACAAATGTTGCATAAAAAATGAGTACACAATTACTTGACCTAACATTGTATGGGATAAAGAAAAAATATTTTTTAAGTACATGTTAAGTTATTTTAAAATTACGTGAACTAATAAAAAAACAATATCTGACTAAACTTTTGATTATAACTTGATTATAATTTGACTCGAAAATACTTACAGTTTGGGCGTTTACAGTCACAAAAAATGTAACCAAAACTATATAAATAGGCATAAAAATTAAAATCTCCATTATCTAAAGTTTAAAACACGAACACCATCATTCGTTGTATCACAGCTTAAGAAAGAAAAATACTGACGGAATCTAATCGAATGTTTCTAAAACATTTAAAAACATAATAATTGATTTTTCATACTAACTTCTTGGTGCTGGAAAGTACTTCAAGTTCGAATCATCAACACAGATCACGGTTAATTCATTTCAGTATATTTTTACAAAAAAAAATTGCGTCGCAGTATTTAAAGTTTGCCAAATTTTGATATTTTCTGTCCGTGTTGTGATGAATTAAGAATACGGTGTGTCACCACCCCTATTCATCCCGTGGGTGTCGTAAGAGCCGACTAAGGGAGCAAACCAAGCAGGACAACAGCACGGCAAAAAGAGAAGGGAAAATTGAAACAAACCATACCAACCCGCCCGAGCGTGGTATCATCATCATCATCATTATGATAATGATGATACCACGCTCGGGCGGGTTGAACAAAACTTGAAACAAACCATACCAACCCGCCCGAGCGTGGTATAGTAGGACCAAACCTCTTTTTTAATGAGAACCGATGATGATGATTTTGATAAAATGTTTTATATTTGAATTTCAAGTAACTTGAATTAAATTCAATTAAACTCCTTAACATGACAAAAAATAAATCCTTTGTCATTATTTTATTTTTTTGGAAACAGGAATAACAATAGCTATCTAGGGCAGGTAATCATTCTGAAAGCAATTTATAACCTTCATAAAGATAATAATAATAACTTGACACATCTCACACAATAATAAAAATATATTACATTAATAATAGTATGAAGTATTAAAACCTATACAGTTGGTATATTTTTATTGGTGTAAAGGAGAAGACGTATCACCAGCTCGTGGAAATCGGCAACGCAAGTCCTTTGCCGCCCTTTTTAATACCATCCTCCCATCAGAGGTGAGGTTTTGGTCTCCTGTAGCCTTACTCACTTGATGAAAATTAACCGAAAATTTGCTTAACACCGGTTTATTGTGACTCCGGGATATAACTCCGAGCAGACAATAGCTCTCCTACAATGTACTGTGTTTTGGAGGTGTCACAAGCTGACTTGTAGACTGTGTACATCTCGTGTTGATATCAAAGTATAAGCTATTAACTATTGCCAACATACAAAAAAAAACAAATCTGCATCTCAAATATTTATTGGTTAAAAATAAATCTATACAAAGTTGATATACAGTAACCAATCGTGTGGAACTCCAACACTATCGTTATAATTAAAACAATGAACGTGATACTTCTACTGATTTTTCTCATTAGTTCTATGGTTGTTAATGGTGCCCCTTTTGGTGACTCCTGTGGCAGGTGCAGTGATTTACGAAGCGATTTTATTTCATATTTATCATGCTCTGGAGGAGTTACCTAGAAAATAATAAAAAAACAACAAGTTTAAAACAAGTAAATATAAAGAGGGGAAAAATCTCCAGGCGTTAGTCTCTTTATAGTCTTTAACTAGGACAGTAAAAACCATTTACTGGTGCTTTCAAAACATTTTCGTAATAAATGGTTGTTAAGATACTTTGAATTGGAGACAAGTTCGAATCGGATACCACGCAGAACAACACAGCTCTGGTTTTTAGGATTCCGTACCTCGAGGGGATTTAAGGATTCTTTACAGAATTACTTTATGGATAGTTACTTTGTTGCCAGAGAGACAGAGAGATATCTGTCTGTCAATATAACTTTTCTCAGGAACGCATGACACGTATAATTAAATTGAGATTTACACGAGATACGTGCCAACGCCTGGAGCTGCTTTAGGCAATAGACACATCCAAGTGTAAGCATTATACTGGCATTTTAATAGTTACAATTTATTTGGATAGTCAAACAAAGACCAAACCCTATCGGTTACATAGAACCCATTCCAATCAGGATGTCAACTAACCGATCCACTTTCAAGCTTCAAAGAAGTTGAAATTGGGAGAGGAGGCTTACGTCCGAAGACGGGCAAACTAGAGGCTGATGTAATATGTTTGTTATAATATATCATGTATAAACTATTACTATGGATACCTAGTTTATATTTAATATACACCACATACACTAGATTCAAATATACACCTGTCACAAACAACTCTTTAACATCCAAAGGTTGGAATGAGAGAAAATGCATGTGACATTAAAAATGCATAATGTTTGTAGGAAGTTTCAATTAACAATGAAATAACCTATTGACTGATTGAGAAATAGGGTCTCACAGCACAAGTATGTCTGAAAAATCTAAAAATAAAATATATCCATCACAGTCAGCTAGAGTGTTGATGGTAATGTACTCAGTCATAAGTCATGTGAACGAGCCCGACCAACGGCCATCAATCAAAAACGTATTCATATATACCTACAAGTTTATGTTTTATATTTGTGTCAAAATAATACAGAATAGAAAGACAAGCGTGTTATTAGGATTATGTTGAGTTTTGAGGTACGCGTCATAAACCTTAAAATACGCTTTGAAAAAAAGTTCTGTGACCAATGTTTAATAAAGAACGTTGCAGAATTGTTTGTTCAATAAACTGATATAAACAGAGAAATCAATATATTGTATACTTTGACATGACATGGTGTATATATGTATGACAGCATCAAAAGTAATAAAAAAATACTACTACACCTATGGATGTCCAAATTTTCTTGGAATATGTTTCAGGAGTTACCTAAACTGTGATACTACGAGTAAAAGGTTATTTCAAACAAAACGAAAAGCTCGCTCATTTAGAAGTCGAAACGTAAGTACGTAACCTTTAGTAAGATGCTATCTTTAAACGCAGCTACAAATAGAAAATTTACCATTGTTTACCATAAGTGTATCAATATTTTATTTATTTATTTGCTTTCTAAGGAGAGGCCTGTGTCCAGCAGCGGACTATTATAGGATGTTGATGTGATATCACATCACATCACATACCTAGTGAAAGAATATAGACAGAATCTTACTAAAAATCTTTACTCAAATTACGTCTTCTAAATGACGGAGATTTTCGTTTTGTTTGAAACAAATAGCAATTGATACACTTATGGATTTCCATATTAAGATTTCTTCATATTATCCGTTTGTTTGTAATGAACCCTTGGTTTAGTAGCATCATCTTTTGTTCTCTCAAGCCTAGTTGTTGTTAAAAGGTGGTCTCATTTTGACACAAGCTGCCATGAACAGCTTTGCAATGTTTATACTGTCAATAATTGCCAAACATCCTACCTGAAATCCAACACCTGGTTCTATGTGCGATGGCCTACTGCCCTCCGGGCAGGGCTGGAAATTACCACGTTCTGTCATATAATATTAAGGACTACAACTAGTTACTCTACTATGGGAATAAAGATGAAAAATGTGTTGAAATTTCAGTAGCATGGTAACAAACTAAGTTGCTTATTTCATTATTATTAATAATAGTACGGAATATTCCTTTACTTCAATAGAGACACAATAGATTTTTGATCTTACAACAACAAAATAAGATTGAATTTAAAATGTCCCACCTTGTACAATCTCTTCGATTTACTTGTCACTATAGTTATATTTTATATTTAAATATTTTACTAATCAGTTACCTTCTCGTTTCCTTCAATATCAGCTTTAACGTCGGCGTGTATGGGCTGCGCGTGATTCGTTACTATATGTAGTGCACCCGCTGCATTACGTTTAGCTCTTGATTGGTCTGTTCGTGGTGAGTTCTGAATGACAACAAAACATTGCAAAATACTGTTTTATTATTTACATCCTTCTGTCTCTAACTCACTTAATATTATATATATGAGTGAGAGTTTCTGCCGTCGGAGTAAGGTTTATCAATCATTCCGATGATGAGTATCTGTATTTTATGAGATGGAATTACAATTAGGACCGGCAATTCCAAATTATAGCTTCATATCGTCAGAACATGATTTTGATAAAAATAGAAATATTCTGTTGCCTGCGTAGTTGCTCCCTTAGTCGGGTCTTACGATACCCACGAGGTATTTAGGGGTGGTGAAACTCCCTATTGGTCATACGTCACCCCTCGGAACACAACAAGTAGTAGGTGTATTGATTGATTAAAATCTACATTAGCTCAAGTGAAAGTAGTATTTTTAAAAGTCTGATCAGCTGATTTGAAGACTATTTAGTGCACGCAATCATAGTGTATGTACCTCTTGATTATGATTGATTTTGGATGTCTTGGGGGCGTGACGTTTATTAATTTTTCCACACCTGATGTATGCTATGATTATCTATTTGTATCAAATACTGGATTAATATCTAAACATGTAAGGTTGAAAAAAAAGAGAAAAATATGAGAAAACTTATAGTTCGACTTAGGTCTTTCTTTTTGCATAAATATATTATTTTCTATACTTCGAAACTTAAAGATATTAAAGTTCTTCTGAATTCGTATTCTTTATACTTAATGTCAAAAATTTTGACACATTTTTTACGTTTCGATTTTGAAGTATAAAGAATTAGTACTCTAATGAAAACAAAAACAGTTTTCTAAGTCTTTCAAGTAAAGTTTTTATTATTAAGTATTAAGTATATTTTAAGTATTATTTCTGAAATGATACTTAAACAATAAATCTTTTTTAAATAAAAAATTGTACCTTCTAGCAATACTGACAAAGAGTACAAAAAAATAAAAAAAAACAGCATAAAGACTGTTGCAGCTTCTGCGCTACATTCTACCAAGCCTATCAAGCTCCTATTTGGCTTAGCACCGACTTCAAACAGACTAGAAGGAACTATTTGTATTATAATGTTACCTGATATATTTAGGGTACTTATTAAAGTTTTTTTACTTAGATTTGTAATATATTTCTTTATTTTTAGTGCTCTTTGTCAGTATTGTTTGAAGTCGGTTCAACTTTTTTTTTTAAAGACTTTATTTTACAATTTTTATTGTAAGATATATTTGTAATGAGTGAATAAATACAATATTTAATACACTACGTACCGTAATGTATAGTACCAAACTGCAGTACGTTAGATTATATTAAATATAGTTTAATAAGTCCATTACTTTATTTTGATAAGGTAGTATGTTACATTTGAACCCGAAATATATTTCTTTCCACATTACTTTTTTTTTTTAAACTAGGAGTGATATTTTTTCTTTACCTTTGAATGGAACTAAAAGGGAAATATACCCTCCCAAATAAAAAAAGAATTTTCATAATCGGTTTTCAAATAAAAAAGTTTTGAGGTAACAAACGTAAATATTTGCGTAACAAACATTTTTTTAGTCTAAATGTTTTGGAATCTCATATGTGTATTACTCTTTTGTGCGCATATAACTGTAACTCCACACAAACACCTATAAAATATCTTGAAAGAATAAAACAAGGTCAATACATGATCAGACCTTTGAAAGACTTGTTTTCTAACTCCTACGTGTCAAGAATCCTTCCATCATCAGCTCAGCAACATGGCATAACGACTACTAAACGTAAATACCTACAAAGCTAGATAACTGAGTTAAAACACGTTGTCGGGGCTGTAAAATTTGAGGGATTCCCTCGATTTTTCTAGGATCCCATAATTAGATCCTGATTTGGTTTTAATGGGACTACTTCGGGAGCATACCCTTTCGATTAAAAACAGAATTTTGAAAATAGGTCCTCAATTCACGGAGTTAACTCGTAACAAACATACAAAAAAATACAGACGAATTGATAACCTCCTCTTTTGTGATTTTGAAGTTGGTTGAAAAACGTACATACCTACCTTGTTTTTATGTTGGCCTAAAACAAAACAAGATATAAACAAAACCAATAAAACTCGCGTCTTCATGATTTCAACATAGTTGTAACTTGTAAAACATAAAACACATAACATGTTTTATGTTTAATATCGTATCGAAATAAGTTGTAAAAATAATCCGTTTTATGTATCCGTAGTTTAGATAATAACTTGTGATATATTTTCGTTATTGGTGGTGAAGAGAAGCAAAATGACGAAAATGTTATCAATACTCCTTTTGTACCTACTTCATAATATTCATGGACATTCCGACCCAGAAGTAAGTATATTCACATTTAACTTACCACTTTTGAATTACAAGTCAACTTACTCGTACTTATTTTATACTGTAAGGAATCATGTCCGTGTGGAGATGGATTAAGAATACGGAGTGTCACCACCCCTATTCATCCCGTGGGTGTCGAAAGGGCTGACTAAAACTACGCAGGACAACAGCACCGTTTTGCTATACATTTAAAAATGAAAAGCGACGGATGATTTGAGTACTTTCGGGGTGCAAACGTGCGAATTTTCGTGTCGGCTTATGAACGTCATGAAAATTGTATTTATCTGAGCACGCGTCTTCTAAGAGCACTGCAAAGAGAAGGAAAACTTGACAGAAATCCGTCTAGCTAACGTGGTATAGTAGGCCAAACCTACCAAACCAAACGTCGAACCTAATATTTCATAAAAGGCCAGAATGATTTGCAAAATCCTCTAAAAAGTAATAAAGTTAGTAATCAAATATCTGAACTTGTTCAGACTAGTTCAGAAAAATAAAGATGTATATCAATCATTGGCATTGGCTTAACATTTAAGAAAAGAAAATTATTTTCAAGAAAAATAAAAGAGAATTTTTTTCATTCTTTTTTTACGACCTAATTGAATTTAACGCTAAAGTTTATATACAATCAACGAACTTGTTTAGAACCCGTGTTATCATCAATAGGTATTGACAATAAAACTATTGATCAGTCATTGATGCCGCGTACCGTACGTACACTGACACGAGTATTGATCGACGAATACATTAGTGAATTGGGACAATGACTTAGAATTTAACAGAAGAATAGGCTCGAAGCCTACCAAGCAAAGAAAACCTTCAAAAAGAGAAAAGAACTTGCCCACTCATGATAGTTTCACAACAATTTAACTTACTGTTCAGTAGTTAATCATCATCCTCCGAACCAAACGAGGTTTGGGTCGGTTTTAAGTCTAACACGTCACGGCTGAACTTTGATATTTTTCCGTGAAGCATCTGCCGTCAGGTCAAGTTCTGTAGATAGACTGTTGTCGAACTTTTTAGGGCACCAACTACACGTAACGATTGCCACAGATATTCTGGCTGTGATGGCAACCGGGACCGACGGCTTAACATGCTCTTCAAGGTATGGAGGGGTCTAAGGGTTTTAAGGATAGTTAAATTGTTTGTAATTTGCTTTTTGATGTGTAACACTTCTCTTCTCGCTTTCCTGCTGTATGAGAACGATTTCGTGTAAAGAGACGGAAGTATGTAATAAATAGGCAGCCGGGGAAGCGAGCGCTATTTGGCTTGAGTAATGAGCTGAGATGAGCGATTACTGTAAACAAGTTTTGGAGTTCAATTTGCAGCAGTATATTTATCCGCAGCTTTGCTTGATTTAATTTACATTTTGCTTATAAATTTAGACCTCCTTTGGAATCAGTACTTCTTTTCGCGACGATCTATTGAGTAGTTAATGCATCACCAACAAACATTTTCACCATATACAAAATAACGTTTCTTTGGAACACATGTACGTCTAAACGTTTTCCCTTGCGAATATTTCATGGCAGTTTTATGGGATCGGCCGCATGATGTTATTACTTATGTAGAAGCAAAGCTAATTAGATATGTATTTATACTAACGTCATATAGTAGCTTTTGTTCCTAATACAATAAGAAAAACTATAAGAAACTTTTTAGGATTCGTATGTCATCATAACATTAGTTTTGTGCGAAATATTACTTCGTAAGAAGACCAAGAACCTAGGTCTGTCGATCTCTCAAAAAGAAGTACTTTTGCCTACCTTTCAAGGTAGGTAGGTTATAGGTAGGTTATCAAGAATACGTAGAAATACGAAGTTAAAATTAATGTCAACTACCTACCGTTATAGTACCAAATGTAGGTATGTATGTGGATATTCAAGAACCAGCGAACATAAAAGTCTACATAAATACTAAACAATGGCCTGGCCTGCGTAGAATATGGCCGTTTTATCCTTTTATTTTAACATGTCGCGTCGTAACTAAATCTAAACCAAAAGGCTATTTCCCATTAACGAGAATAATGCAAGGTTTCGCAACACTAGGAAAGGTAAAATCCCTACGTTAATTTTTTGTAATGTCAATACAAAAAATATGTATTTTATGTTTAATATGTAAATACAAAAATTACAAACTAATATTTTACTGTTTCAATCAATAGCCATCGAAGTTAGGTTTGTTACTAGGGCAAAAAACCTTTTTTTGGTTTTTTTTTATTAATATGAATAGAGTAGTATAGCTTTTAGTTTAGTTTCTCTTTTTAATTAAGTTTAGTTTCAGCTTTTGTTAAAATTTTGGTTTATTTGGTTTTAGAATTTAGAACTACGAAACGATGCAGATTTGCAAGCGGAGCTGATCCCCCAAGAGTTGAACACCCAATTCGTGCCCGAAAAGTCACAACCTAAGGTAATAACTGCTGTTATAATATTGGTATATTATAATGTGTTCGGATCTGATCTGACCATTGCGGTTTAATTAGGTCCATGCCATTTAATAGTTTTCTATTAATCACTAAAACAAGCGTTGCTCTTCTACTTTCATAAGGTACAAATAAAATGTTTATTTATTTGTTATGTGTTGTTATATCTGTGCAATGTACATACACATAGGTGCCGTATTTGTGTTTTATATTTATGTTACCTGCATACCTTCATTTTAAAGTTTTTAAAAAACATCTAGTCTAATTTATGAAAATGAACATACAAATATTTACTATCGAATTTTTTTCATCTTTATATTAGGACTTCTTTATCTTCCCCTTGTAAACTCCTTAAAATCGAACTGTACTCGTACATTATGCCATTTGTAATATTTATTTTACTATCATATCGCACAAACCTTTTACAACACGTAAAATGATCTGTCAGCAGAAGACTATAATAATGAAAAATGAAAAAAAAGTGATGGGTGTAGTTTCCGTAATGTAGAGAGTCCGTGTTATTCTACGTATTCACGGCACCCGTTGAATGATCTGACCGAAAAGGAATTTAATTCGTCCTTCGCAATCGTTTAACCGAGGGAGACAAATGCTTGACACGAATGTCACCATGAGCATGAGTTAGGATATTGGAGGAATAACCTCTTCCCTTAGCTTTAGGGAGGGAGGAGGGAGGAATGCAAGGGATGGTAGCGCCTGCTCATTGGCCCTTTGTAGTAAAAAAGATCAAGACTAATCATTAGAAACAAACTAGATACAGTTTTGCAAACCTTTCAAGTCGGTGGTTGCAGCAAAGTTATTTAATTGGTCGTACTACTAACAAGATATTATCATCATCATCATCATCATCATATCATTCGTCATTCAAAAGCCGTCTTGTTCAGTTTAAAAGCAAAACTGATTACCACAGTTTTCATACTCAGTAGAACATTGATGCAAAAAAATGGTGTACAAATTCTGCTTCTATTATTTTCACCCTGTACACCCTTGCCGCCATTAGCATATTTCATAAATTATGCATGTAATATGCAAAATATTGCTGAAAACAGCTGTTTAATTAGGAAGGTTTTGCGTATGGTATAAATATACATTTAGCTAAGCCAAATTAGCTATTAAATATGTCCTTAGTCATGGAAATTTAGAAAAGAAGAAAAATTACATTATGTAATTTTTTATCAACATTGTGAAATGTCTCTCTTGTCAGTTAAGTTTCAAAGGTTTTGTATTAATCTACACAAAATACATGTATCCCGACATGCAAGCACTGTATCCCCGTTTAGGTAAATACTATTCTCCGACATTTCACTCTCGTGTCTGGTGACTGTTGCGTGAAACTCGTAACTTGTCGTCCCTTGCCCGCCCCTCATCTTCCAAGGATGAGGGGGTTCGGCCTCCCTAGCGCAGGCCAATGTATGCTTATTCTGTGGGTTACTCACTCAGGCTAATTTTAGGAAGTATATAGGTACCTACCTATGTAAATGGTAAAACCGCCCAGTTATATAGACAGACTATTCTCTACTTAACATAAGTGAAAGCAACACATGCTATTTTCATGACTCATCACCGTGGAAATAAATTAGACCAATGCAGATGTTAATAAAGTTCCTTGTAATTACTAAAGACGTATATTTATGGCGTTCCTTTGATGTGCATTATGATAAATTAGAAAGTATATATAAGCAATTGCTTACTGTGTAATATTGTGGTTTACACCTAAGTTTGCATCCCAAACCTACTTCGAAGTACGGCTGTGAAAATGTAAAATGTGTGAAATGAATTTTTTTAATAGGTTTTTTCAAATATTACTATACTGTCCCAGTGGTGACGGATTAATGTCACCACCCCTATTCATCTCGTGGGTGTTATAAAAACCAACTAGGAGAGCAAACTACGCAGGATAACAGCACTGCAAAGAAAAGGAAAACCTGAAACAATCCCTACACCAACCCGTCTGGCCAGGGTGGTGTAGTAATACCACCCTGGCCAGACTGGTTGTAACATACGTTACTTTTTACCGCGAAAACCGACATACACGTGGGCGGAGCCGCGGGCAGAAGCTAGTATAATATACATGTAAGAGTGAATAGTAAATGAAAAAGTTGACAAATAGATTAAATAAACAAACAGACTTGATTGAAAATAACGATTTGACGAGATAATGTTTTGTTTGTGGTGATTTTTCTTTTTTTACACTGAACACTGTGTTTTTTTGGTCCATGTCAACGGTATTTGGGACATATTCTAAGTAAGTATTAGTGGTTTACGATTGTTTACTCATTACCAAAATTAAATATTTGTTCCTAATTAATTTTATATTACCGATGAAAATAAACCAAAAGTATAAGTTCACATTACTTACTTCACTACATTACACTATATACTACACGACATTATTCACTAATGAATCAAAATTTGTACATGTAAAACAAAATAATACGCGATAAAGTTGAAGAATCAAATAAATTGCTTTGTCCGTCTTGAATCAATTTTATTAACTATTTTGAAATTGTATAATTTAGTTTAATATATTATAAAAAACTATGTTTAAACGAGAATAATTAAAACTTAATCCTGTCTTCACCAATGACAGCTTATTCAATGTTATTGTAGGTAGTTCATCAACTTATTTAAGATACATGGAAGAATCATTCGGGCTTCTACTAAAGTATGAGAGTTGACCGCAATAATGTGCTTTGAGGGCCTTTGCGCAAATATCCAGCATCACTTTTACTAATTTCTACATTGAGATGAAAACTTAAAACAATTCTAAACCTGAAATGGAAGTGGGAGTCTTACACTAACTAATTTAGGTTAGAAGGAAAGAAACCAGGTATACATATAGTAACTACATCAAGAAACATAAAAGATGCAGCGGAATCGTCTGTAAGATCTCTCATGACAATATAATGGGCTAATAGTTCCTCCCTCACTTCAATAGAAAATACAGATATATGCTTTTGTTTCAGGGTTTTCCATGGCACGCCATACTACCTGTAGCGCCTCGATCCCGTAGAAATACTCATGATGTATCTACAGTTGATGCAAATGCTCAGGAAGTACAAGCCTCAACGGGATTGTCGCAAAATTTCAAAATGTACACCCGCGTGGCATCTTGCGTAGCGCTCGTTGTAGCCGCTGTTATAGAAATTGCGCTTTATATACTTGAATTATATAAATAAATATATTAAGGTATATTTGTGGTTTTATTGATAGCAAAATTTAAAAAAAACTTACTCTCTGTGCAAGGTGAAGAAGCTTTTGGGCTAAGACGAATGCTATTCAAATATCCTTATGACAAAGACAAAAATAAAATCAGTAATTAATATCATCTTCTAACACTTGCAACATTTTCTCAACATAAGCATACATTAGAAAGTAAGAGATTTATACATTTTTTGTAATTTGAATCTACTATACCGGGGAAACAGTATTACTATCACCATACTGAAAACCGCACCATGGTATTGACAGAAGTATTAAAAGGGATAAGGTTATCTAACACTGCCCTTTTTAAATATTATATTAACGTCAAGTTTAATGAAGAAAGCTATATTTCAAGGCCGTGGAATGGAAAGAAACACAAACAGAATAATTTAAGCTTAGTTGTTTGAGATGAGTCATATATATGTAACGAACTGTTGATCCAATAATTATATCCGGATACAGAACAACTCTTCGTGTTCATGATACAATTTATTGACGTCAGAATATTTGCTGTATATTGTTTCAAATTTATTTGGTTAATTAAATAGTTGAACATTTGTTCCAGGACTCCCCCTGGCGGGCAGTAATCCCTATAATAAATCGTACTCGCCGCAATATTGAAGAAGTTTCAGAAACTGACGCCAATCAACAACTGACAACAAATGGAGTGAAAGTAAAAGGCTTTTAAAAGAAATTATTAAAGTTGTTTAATACTTTCCTGCAAATGTCTCTTTCTCCTTAATAAAATTAAAAATATTTTAATACGTGAGTAACCTAAATGACCTACACAATTTAGTTATAAACCAGATTAGCTCAAAAATATTGACCTATTAAAATAATCGTGTAGTTAGAAGTGCGAAGTGTTTACTTGTAGTGATCGGTACTATGAGTCATTTTTCATTAAGACCGTATGTAAAGGCGTGAAGATCGGTATATTTAACTTTTAAACACATTACTATGGCTTATTTTCAGGCTAAACATTAGATTAAATAATTTACTGTGACGGTTCATGTTTGTACAAAATTGTGATGAAAAATATATTAAGTTACACCTGAGTATATTCTTTTTTAATCAAAATTTAAGATTAAAGAATTCATTAATATTTTTGATAAGTTTACATTAATTTACTAAAATTACGTTCCATTGTTATACTTGTTCTAATCAGGGTCCTTGGCAGAAAATTAATCAACAAAGTTGTAATTATTAGCGATTCAAGAGCAGATTTGAATTGATAATAAAATTATATATTGATGTTCCGTTAAGGTTTTGAAGTGAACTTTGTGAATTTTGACAAGTATTTTACACAAAGATTTTCATTTTTGGAGTTTACTCCTTAAGAATCGATTTTAATTTAAGACGGCCGGTATGAAAAAATATGACGAGCAAACTTTAGTGATCGAAGGACCTCGTTACGTTTTTTAGTTCTAAATGTAATTTATAGAAGTCGTTTCAACTTTTATTAGTTAGTTACAAACAAGAGTTTTTTATTAGATCATGTATGATTACAATGTATCTCAGTTTAGTGAGTAGTCCACTACAAAATTAAAATAGTTTTAAAACGGAAAAAACCCCAAAATAAATGGCAATGAATACGTGACTTCTAATTATTTCACTTACGTGACTTCTAATTTATTCACATAGATGGCGCTGATCATTAAATTTGTGTGCAACCGACATCAGACAGGATATGCGTTCTTAAGGAGTAAACTTCAGTCATCGAAGCTGATACACACACTTCTTTTTTATCGTAAAGTGGGCCAGCAAGCAGACGGGCTGACTGATGTTAAGTGACTACCGTCAGCCATGTACACCCCTTGAGTTCAACCCCCCAGAAGAAGGGGGAGGTTTGGGTTCTAGTAACTCTCTCATTACTCTACATCACTCATTTCAGGTCAGAACTTAACATACAGGTTTCTATTTGAATGATAGTTGTCCTATAGGAAGAATGTTAGACTTGACGCAGTTTAGCAATTCTGGCTAAAGTTATAAGTTCTATGAATATCAGTATGAAAATTCAATTCTACACTCTTTACCAGAGGTACCGAAAAAGGCATGGAATAACTTTCATTCAGAAAACATAACTTTCCACAAAGGATGAACAAATTAAATGCATTAAAAAGGCAGTGCAGAAACTAAAAAACCCGTGAAGTGAGAGTGGTAATATATTATTGACGGTATGAAGGAATATTTAAGTGCAGTCCTCTGTTGCTATATTTTATATACTTTAATAATTAACGCAAAACTTATTAAAGTACAGATAACATACATACTTTAGCTTGTTACGCTTATAAAATAAAAGTTCAAAAATTAACATTGCTTTCTTCCGCAGGCGCTGATCTGCCTCACACTAGACGGGTTCTATCACCTGTGAGCAGCAGTTTCTCTGAGAAGCAAGTGAGGAACACTCTCCTCATACGAGGACTTCTCAGCCTCTTACTCCTGGCTCCTACGTCCCCAAGGAGCCGGAGATCCGAAGGGATTTTCCACCCCGTCAACAAAGAAAAAAGAAGAGGCCGTGGAAATGGGTTCACTGAACAATAGTTACAACAACATCAACCCTATAGCAAACATACTACATAGCACAATCTATTAAAGATTAACAACCCGATTGTATTGTTTATTAAAGTGATATCTTACGTAATATTTATTATGACAAATCGATTAGTTATACTCTGAAAAATGATTAAATTGCGGCATGGGATGGTCACGGATGTTACTTGATAGGGTATAAAAGCATGCTACAAGTGGAATTGGCAGCCCGGTCGCGAGGTTCGTGTCAAGATGAAGTGGCTCGTAATATTGTGCTTAGTATTTGGCCTGCTTGCGGCTTTGGTAAGGATCCAATGTCAGTATTTTGTCTAGTCAGAATAAGTCATAAATAAAAGATGATTGGCATTTGAAACGCGAGGTTTTCCGAAAGGGTCAATAAACCTGTTTCTTTGGTTTATTGAAATGCGTTACTTCATCATCTATTTTTATCTTTAGCCAAATCGGTAAGGTACGGGCCAAAGACTAACATAAAAATGAAGTTTTTAAGTCAGTAAATGAATTGGATTGTCTTGTTCATCAATTTAATTAATTTATCTTTCTTACTTATAGTTTTGAAAAATCTAAAAATATAATTTTATGTATTATGTTATGGTATTATGTTAGAAGTAATAGTCCTTTTTCAATAGTAAAGTCGAAGTTCGAGTAAGCTCAAATTTCATTCGAGAAAACGCTTACATCAGAAATTATCGGTAATAAATATCTCCTAAAAACTGTCCGTGTGGTGACGGATTAGTGTCAATAATTAGTGTCACCTCTCCTATTCATTCCGTGAGTGTCGTAAGAGCCGACAAAGGGAGCAAACTACGCAAGACCACAGCACTGCAAAGCGAAGGAAAACTTGAAACAAACCCTCCACATACCGCGTGGTATAGTAGATCAAATCTTCCTTTTTAAAGACAGGCCTATATCCAGCAGTAGACTAATATAGGCTATTGATGATGATAATGTGATGATGAAACACGTTGATGGTGTGCCCATACATATCTGGATGGTTCAATTAAAGTCAACAATTTTTACTTCAATACACCTACGGTTACATCGCGATGAATTTCGCAATAAAATGAATTCTTTATTCCTTAATTTTTATCCTTAAGAATGATTTTTTTCTTCAATTTTGAATGGGACCATGGTAATGGGATAAGATGTATATCCCTCCCGAAAAAAAAAGAATTTTTTAAATCAGTTTCTTTAATCGGAGTTCTGAGGTAATACATGGAAATAATAGTTCGTTTGAAAATTAAGATTAATAAAATTTCAAAAAAAAATTTTGTAAAAGTTCACCACAAAAATTAAAAACTAAAAACAGTCTTTGATTTTGCTTACCCAGCTCATACTTTTCAAATACTGTTCGAAAAAAGACTTCATTATGATGTCTTTCTGACACACGTGTTACACACCATGTGAAAAAAAAGTGAATATTCATTATTACATTGATAATTTTCAGGCTGAAGACTCATCAGATAGCCGCTCAGGTCCAGTAGATTACACGGGCAGATACGCTGAGCTAGCATCCGCAGTACCTTCTCACGTCAACGTACCGGAACTGATCGCATCACTCACCGGAGTCCGCCACTAATTAGATCTCCCCACGACCTCGTTAGTCATTCTTCACATTGGTAATCAAACCTTCTAAATTGAGTACTTAGTTTCAAACTGTTATGATGACGACAAAATGTATTTTTACCATCACAAATTTTACAGCAAATGTGCGACCTACAAATAAATAATTCACAAATAGGTATATAAAACATAACTAAGTATATACAATGACTAAATAAAAAAAAATTGGCTATTTATCGCACAAATTAAAACTATGATTAATTGAAATGTGGTCACGCTATTCATAACTTAGCTTGCGCACTTCCCAGCGCCTACCCGTGTGTAGTCCCACTAAATGCAAGATTGACTTTAAAATTGTTATCCAGTAATAGTATATTTATTGTTCGCGTATAAATTGTTAAATGTTTATGAATTTTGTATCCATTTACTGTTATTAAAGTGTGTTAGTTTGCTTGTCAAATGTTTTTTTTTTATTACCTTACAGCCAACAATTTTATAGAACCCTTCGATTATGTTACCAGGTGACATTATATACTCGTAGTAAATATACTACAAACAGCGTGAATAGCTGAATTTTTGACACGACTCTGTGAAAAAAAGATTTTATAGAATTGTAATTGATTTCATTAACTTAAATAACTTATGTTGCGGTGTTCTCAAGCAATTCAGTTAAAACTTAATTCATTACCTGCAATAATTACCATTTGTATAAATGTCTTGTTAAAGTGAACTATCTGTTGTACTGTTAATTAATCTTTTCTAACTAAGAACGGGTAATGTAGGAGTGTTTATAATGGCATCAAGCGGGGACTACTTGTTTTCTTTTCATTAACGTACACGTAATTAGAATCTCAGTTGAGGTTTATTTACGATACAAATAGCTTGTTACCCATGCTTCAAGCAATATTGTTTTAAACTGCAGTTTATTCTCGAGAATAACTGTTTAACTGACTTGAAGAAGACTATTCAAGTGACAATGTATTTTCAATTAATGTTTTAGTAGCAGATGAGAATTTACCTATTCTCAAAAATATATGCGTTTCATTTTGTTTGCAAATCAAAGACACACTAGCCCACATCACATTTCCACTACGAAATAGCCTGTGCTAAATTAATCCCAAGCATTCTTGTCTTCTATGTAATCTACAATTTAGTTTATGTTTTATTGTGGATTTAAATTTATTTATACCAAAATCTTGTATACTATTTGGAATTTTATTATAGAATCGGACACATTGACCTCGAAATGACTTGTTTATCTTTTGGAGCCTAGAGGCAGATACAACAAGTTTATTTCAATTTCTGGTATTTGAAGCATGTTAGGTAAGTATATGATAGTATCTTTCCAAGAAGAAGTCTTTGTTTTATAAACATGTATTACATTTTCATATATATATTGACTTGCTACTGTCATTATGTTTATTTCTTTAGTGAACAATAATTGCCCAAATTATAAATGGCTTGATTCGCTCTCTTTTGCAGCACAAAAATAGTTGCATGTCGGCAGCATTCCCCCACAGTAGAATACCGTATGACATTATGCTATGAAAATAACTGAAGTAAACAAGTCGGACTGTATCAATATCAGTCAATTCCCATTTTTTTCTAACTGCGTACGCTGCTAAGCTGAGTCTACTCGATAATTTATCTAAATGTGGGCCCCACTTTAGCTTAGAATCTAATGGTATTCCTAAAAATGTCATTGTATCCACAAGGTTTAGCTCGACATCCTTAATCATCACAGTGGTTTTCACTGGCTTGGCGTTTGACTTGGTGAACCGTACACACTTAGTTACTTATTTAATTTAAAAGCAAATTGTTAAAATAAAACCAATGTACCACTTTCGAAATGGCGTTGTTTACGTCTGTGAAATTAGTAAGTGTGCGTTTGAGTCCAAATAATAGTGATGCAATCAACAAGTCTGCAAACAACACTATCTCGTGATTATCCTTGAAAAGGTGAGATAAGTCGTTAATATATACTGAAACCAAAATGGATCAAGAATTGTGTATTACCATAAGAGTTTAACACTCATGTTAGGTCGGTCGCAGGAAGTACCAAACAATTCAGTGCCTCAGTTGGCTTGCACCAGGAATCGGATATTAGCTCATACCTCTTCCCTATCTCCTCTTCCTTCTTGTATCTTACACTTAGTGTGAGATAGCTTAACTAAATAGCAACATAGAACGATGCGAGTAGTTTTGCTATCATGTTCCTAACATGTTCTGTCCTAACAGTTGATGGTTCCTAAGTATCTAAGAGTTGGTCATTTTAATGCGGGTTCATTGGGTACAAGACATGAGGACCTTATGGCAGTGGCAGAGCGACATAAAATAATAAAATCATACACCACAGTTATCATCACACAATTCATCAAAATAACTAACACTGGCGGGTTTCCTTAGATCTTTCAGATATTCAGCCTACGTAAAGCTAAAATGTTAGCCCTTGCTTCAATACTAATATTTCCTTGCATTTTGAATACAAATATTTAATATAAACATCAGTGACAATTAATAACACATATACTCGTCGACATTACAAATATATTAAATCATTGATTTATATTGTTATAATGCTATAAGTTATAATGCTATAACTTCGTAAAAGTGCTACTTATGACCGCGACCGTACACAAATACTTATATTTTATCAGCCACTGCGGGAAGAATAAAAACACACGTTTTCAAAACTTTATTTAGTAGGTACATAAAATATAATATTTTAACTCAATAACTTTTCATTTATATTTCACAACTTCTGATCGATAAGGGTCCATAAATTTACGTCCGGAAGGGTACAGGCGTTCATAATTGTGGTTCACGTCTGAGGCGTGAGCGTATTCCGCTTCACGCCGCCGAGCATCTCGACCTATGGGAATGTAGTCGTAGGGTACCTGTTTTAATTTAAAAAATAAAGAGTAAGGCAGGTACAAGTTAATTAAGAATGTAAATTAAGACACAGTTAGTTTTTAACTTCAAGTCGTGGTCTTTTTCATGGGTCTAATCTCACTCACACTCCTACTACTTTAACTCCTGTCACACCAGACTCAACAGCAATTACCCACGAATACACCTAGTAATAGCACTCGGGAGGTCCCAGGAAAGTTAAATTGTCTTGCAACAAAATTAGCTCCTTCCTTCCTTAGCAAAGCGTTAAATAATGACAAATAAAAAATAGGCATGCACCCTTAAATAGAGAAGTACCTCAGACACAAAAACCATTATGGCCCATATTCACTTCATAAGTGCGCTATATTTAATTCCTACCATGTCTACATGTATGGCACCTCGTGGCTGATTACGATAATGTTCTTGATGGAACCAGTACCCCACTTCTGTGTAGATGTTTACAATTCCTTGAAAACGAAGTCACGCATTCACCCTGCCTAGCGTAAGTACTGTTCAAAACAGTGGTGACTGATCAGTTAGTAGGAGATACCGGATTACAGGATTACTACTTTATGTACCTATCACTAAGATACCAAGATATTCTTAATTCAGTATATTTCGTAAGCCTGACTTTGTAATGAGTTTTCAATTTATCGTGCTTTATTTCAATATTTTTTTTATAAATATTTGTATTTATTCCGTTTTTTATTCCGTTTTCCAGTTATTTCACCGGCATACCTAACCATTCTCATATTGTTTTAACAAACAGAAGCCAACTGATTCAACATGTTAAATATTATTTACCTGTGGTGCCGATTGCACAGACGCGAACAATAAACCACAGATAAAAGATAAATAGAATAAATCCATTTCACGCATGCGACCACTGTAGCCGCTTCACGCCTTTTGACGTTTGTTTAATTAAAACCGATGTAGGTACGATTTTATGCTCACCGATATTTGGTAGTTTATTACTATTGTACTTTTATTGAAGTTACGTACCCAATGTTTATTTCGTTTTAATCTGAATCCGTGAAAATATAAACAATTTTTAATTAGATAGGTGCAAAATGCAAGAAATGTGCTATAAAATGACCATTTTGTATCCTCGCATAATAATTTCTATTTATGTATACTTATTACTTCATTTTATACTTCATACATATCGTCGAGGGTTGAGGCTTGTCCATTCCCGTTTATGAAACTTATAATTGTTTTAAGACTGAGATGAAGATCCTTAACAAGGCGAAATATATGATGGCACATTCCCATAAAATATTTCTGTATAAAATATATACTGTTATTGAAAGAAACAATTTTTTTAAAATTAATTATCTAATCTTCTTTCATCTATATTGATTTATTTATATAATTTTAACCTAACTAGAAGATACACTAAAAAGATGATGCGAAATTGTTGACGCGTCATATCTTTAGTGAATATACTAATTGTGACAAAAATTAAAAACCAACAAGTTTTAGGATTCTGTATAGGAGAATAATTACGTCTTTTGAAAGTCATTCAATGTTTTTTGACCCCGTAGCGAATGCCTACTGGGTGAAGGTAGAACAAAGGTAGGCCCTTGAAGGATGAAGAGTTAACAGCGCCTTGCCGTGGGAGAGTCGAGCCGGCTCATGGCATTTGCAGCATGGCAGATATTCGCCAGCTCGATAGAAGTGACACCACAGTCTGACAGAAAACCGTTGTTAAGCCATTCTTTTATTGCTTTTCACCGAGGGGGTTAGGTTACCGGAGACAACCCACCTCGTAAATCGGGGGGAGAGTTCACTCAAGGAGATAACGCAATTGAGTCTCTTGAGTTACAGGTGTCTATGGGTGGCGGTAGTCACTTAACATCATGTAACCCATCTGCTCTGCTGCATCTGTATTTGCCCCATATACCATCACATTACATAATCACATCACATAAACAGCCTTCAGTAGTCCACTACTGGACATAGGCTTCTCCTTAGAAAGGAGTGGTTTGGCCTACTATACCACGCTGGCCAGACGGTTTGGTATAGGGTTTGTGTCAAGTTTTCTTCTCTTTGCAATGCTGTTGTCCTGCGTAGTTTGCTCCCTCAGTCGGCTCTTGCGACACCGGCGGGATGAATAGGGGTGGTAACATTCCGTATTTATATACGTATCCGTATCCATATACCGTAAAAAAGTGGATTTGTATGTAGTACTAAAATGATATAACTAAAGTTTCTGATTCATTTTCACATTTTCAATACTCAATTCAATCAATTTCCACAAACAATAAAATATATAGAACGAACTAAATTTATACGATTGAACACTTACTATCAACGCTCAAACGAGTACTTATTCAAAATGAATAAAAAACTGAGTGTATTATTATTTTTTACTCGATTTTATTCAATAATTACTGCTGTAAGTACTAAGTGCATACTGTGTAATAGATTACTTGAATCCTTCCTATTTAACGGCGCTGGATGGCATACCGTCTGGTTTTAGTCGGTTCGATTCCGACACAGGGGGAGCCCACAAATTTTGATAATAGACACAGAAATTATGTACTGATCGAGACCACAACATAGGGTTTTAAAGTGTTTTAAAATGTAATAGCAAAATCAATGCAAATCAGAAGTGTTGTGTACTTGGCAACCTTAGTGGTAAAAAGTTTGATCATGAACGTTGATCACGCTGTCATATTAAAAGAAAATATAAGATAATATTCATTTTTATATTAACAGCCTCAACAATCGGAAATAAACGACCAACTTGAAATAACAGATATAGTGACTACCTCTCCAAATGAAAACAAGAATGCTATTAATAATAGCGTAATAATAATAGCAAAAGCTGAACCAAATGAAAACAAAATATACCAACCAACCACCCAAAACACTGAAGGAAGCTTTTCTGTCAAGGCGTACAAATTTTTTGCTGAACCAATAATCACCGTTATAAGAACACCAAAAGTGAATTTAGTACTAAGAAACATTGGAACATGTATTGTCAACGGAGCTATGGAACTATTTTCCTATTACTTGCCTCCGACGTTTATGCCTTTAGTAGCATCTGCGGCAGGATTCATGATACCATTTGAACCAGTAGTAATGCTGAAGGAAAGGATGCCCGTGAATACATATAGAAGAGCTTTTAAGACAGCTATGAAGACTTTTCTTGATTCCTTCAGTCAATTTAAATATGATGACGAAATAGATCCATATATGACAAGAAGATTTAATAGGCGGTTTATGGATGACGATACTAAGAAGCCACGGAGAGAATAAATTGTTAATTAGAATGTAATGAAAGTTATTTATGAAATCATATTCAGTTTTAATAAAAATTTTGACTTTTCCTTTTTCCACGTAGGAAACTCTCACGGCCGGCATAAAAACGCATACCACGTCGTACCGACTAAAAATTACACGGTGGCAATACTGCGCCTATAAAAATGGGACGGGACCCGATAACGACTACTTTATTACTCAACCTCCGATCTAATAAAAAAAACATAATCTTTTCCAACGAATGCCCAGTCACAAAGAGAAATTCAAAAAATAACTCTATAATTTCGTTATAGTTTATAACTGAATTTTAAAATGTGGTAAGTTCCCTGATAGCTTTTGATACTGAACTGTCACACTTCAGTATGTAAAATAAATGAAAGATTTAACATAAATTCGGCTAATAATAATACTTACTTACACTAAATTTATGTAATTATCAATCAACGAAAGCAGACATAGTTATAATTCCAAAAAATGGACAAAAGAATGTTGTTTGGACCACAGTTCGTTCTTTGTCAGGTGATTTAGCTGGCTCTCCTTTCCGTAATCTTACTTCTGAGTCAAACATATTTTTTTTATATGCTTGAGCTTTTTTGTCGTCGTATTGTCTTTTCAAAGTGCTTGGTTTGCCAGAATATTTAATTTCAGATATATCCTCTTTTATTGTTGAGGCATTAGTATCTTCTGAACTGTTTTCATTATTGTCAGGATTTTCAACGCTTTTACTCGAGGCTTTAGTGGCGGCACTTATATTACTTTCCACATTTTTTTCTTTTTCACTGTTACTAGGTAACATTGACGAATTATTGTTTTCAATTAAAATGTTGTCTTTCGCAACCTTGTCGAAAGTGTCTTTTATAATTTCAGTTTTTCTCAAACTCTGAGGTTTATCGTTGAATCCGCTCCACTGATGCCTAAATGAATTATCATCAACAAAAAGTCTCTTAGTTGGATTTGGCCTTTTCTTCCCCAACATAAAATCTTCAAAATAATCTGTCACAGTATGGGTAGTAACTTTCAATATATTAAATTTCTCATTATTAAATATGACTTCACCTGCTTTTTGGAGATCTGTATGCTGTGGGAAATGTGATATCGATGGTTTTAACTGGAAATTAAAACCTTTAATGAGTATTTTACATTTAATTAAATAACAAATATTTTATCTTGTATTCATGGGTATTCAGTTTAATAAGGCCTCCCGTTCTATTATTTTTATGTAACTTACCTTTAACATTAAAATACATAGTACCGATAAAAACATTGTTCCTTCTTCACATAATCATCCTGATAATTCAATTCAGTAAACAAACATGCTTGATGACTGTACAACAATTTAATTATAAAACGTCGTAAAATATTTCAATCACCGAACCACTGACGACCATTGAATGTCGTAACGTTAATTTGTTAAGTTAACAGACCATTTTATTTTACAAGGCTCGGTATATCGATGGTTGAATACTTTTATTATTTAATTGACTATAAGCGACCTTCTACCATAATAGCCATTATTCTCTACCGGTTTTAATTCAGAAAGCTAACCCGTCTGCTCGTTTGCCCCATATGCCTTTAAAAAAGCCATCCACGATTGTTAGACATTCTCAAGTATCGTGTAGCCCATGGCAAATAAAGTTATAATTTGGTCAAAAATAGGTCAGATCTTAAAATCGATCATCATTTTATGACTTTCGTGTAACATACGAGTAAAACAGTCGTTCATATTATGATACGGTCCGGCCAGTTAAATAAATAATCAGTGTTCGGCAAAACGAAACGCACGACTACTTCATGATACGGTAAAACGCCAAAAATAATCTGCAATTAGAAGAGTAAATGCAAAAGTCGATGCGACAATTTAAAAGAACAATATAAAAATATCTTGTATATTTTAAATTATTATTAAATATATTATAATCATGGATACTCTACATTGGTGATAGGGTCAAACGTGTTTTGACATGGCATCAGACGTCCTGGTTTAAACGAACTGGTACTTTTTATTTTCCAATTAATCATAGTTATACGCCCTAGTTTTTCCCTTAGTCTTCTCTTACGACACCCACGGGATGAATAGGGGTGGTGACACTCTGTATTCTTAATCCGTCACCACACGGACGGACGGAAAACTACGCAGAACAACAGCACTGCAGAGAGAAGGAAAACTTGACACAAATCCTATACCAACCCGTCTGGCCAGCGTGGTATAGTAGGCCAAAACCTCCTTTCTAAGGAGAGGCCTATGTCCAGCAGTGGACTATTAAAGGCTGTTGATGATGATACGCCCTAGCGTCCAAAGCTTCGAGTAGTCTTACTGCATCTGTTCAAGGCTTGACTTTCAAATGTTTTCAGTCAGTCAGGCAGCTAAAATTATTTAGATGAAGTTGTTAACTATGTAACCTTACAAGGCATACATACTTAACGGTGTAAAGGTATATTGACAAAAGTTTATAAGCGGTTTAGTGCTGTATAAAAAAAAAACAAAATATACGCGAATCAGTAACGCAACCGTGTTTTGTCTGTTTCAGTCTGTCTGTGATAGATCTATCGGTGGACATTCCAAGGTGAACGAGCTCACGCAGCATAGTGATAGCTTGATACAAGGTCATATTGTTTAAGACGAAGGGCCTATTATTCCATGGGCCCCGTCGTGGTCAACTCGGTCCTAGTACCGGTTCAGACCCAAATGAAATATATGGGCCTGATCCTCGACGGGGGGTGGCTACTTGACGAGCACTTCCGAAGCTCGCAACGAGACGGCTGTACAAGGAGGTGGTCACATCAATGGCACTGTACGGTGCACCGGTGTGGGCGGCGGCTCTGACCGCCCAGAATAGGGCACGCCTCTAACGCCCTTAGAAGATATTGGCGGTTAGAGCCATACGCGGTTACCGCATCGTTTCGACGGAGGCGACGTTCGCGTTTGTCGGACGTCGCCTAGACAATTTACCAGAAGGTAATGCCCGCTCCGTTGCGGGCAGGCGCTAGGAGGGGTCCGGATATCTTAATAACAGCAGTTCCCGGATCCCTTCTATTACAGGCCCACAGTAGCGTATATTTTAATTTGATCTGACCATCATTGGTAATACAAATGATACTGCCATTTGTATTACATATGATAGTCAGATCAAATTAAAGAAAAAAACACAGATTTCACTTAATATTCTTCGATTTTAGGCAGCCTTATTAGCCTTATATTTAACATACAATAAAGAAAAAGATGTAACATACAATAATTATATTGTGAAAAACTTTCGATGACTTCAATGTGCTCAAACTATATTCCAAATTTTTCAAATCTGTTCTAAAATAACTCGCGTACCTTGATCACCCCTCCTTTTTCTGAAGATCAGTTAGAAAGGTCGTCATTCTCTCACTATGAAGAAAGTCTCGTCAAATTATGAAGGAAGTAATAAAAAAAAACAAATAATTTTACTTAATTATATTTGCAACGTATTTTCACTAAAGCGTAAAACAAGACGCAGCCTCTTCAAAACATTCCGTTGACATTCACCCGACAAGTGGCGTTGTATTTAAAAGTAAATTTGACGTTTCGGATGCAGTTCAAATGCACAATCTATGTCATTTTTGTTTCATACAAATCCACCAATACTTAAAAACTTGAACGCACTAATGTTTTAACAAATAAAATAACAAATACATTTCTCATCTCAAAATTTTGATATTAGTGTGTACTACATTACCTACACACAAATATATTATATAGATATTAATGTAACTAAACTGTTTTTGAGTAATAAAACTAATGTAACTGAAGGAGATGTAACACAGTAGTGTTTTAATGATAAATTACATTTTTATTTAAAATAATAAATAAACACAGATAAATAAATATTTCTATAATTAAAAATGATGCTATATTTGGAAACTTATGTTCTGAATATAGCGTAGATAATAAAACAATGTTTATCTACGTTAGTAGTGATGTGGTATCTTTAAGTTCTGAAACTATTCAACATCAGACGTCAGACATAAGCAATCTAGAGTCTACAGGATGTAACTAAGAACCCAAAACGTTATCAATTTGAGCCTACACCTGATCAAAGTGATCTTGGATTTTTTTAAACCCTTTATTAATAACCTATTGATGTTAATAGTGACCGCGTTAATTCGTATCTCCTTCAGTTGTTATAATTACTAATATGCCCAAAAACAATTATTTCAATTAGGAAAACAATCTATTCACACCTTAGGAAAAAAATATGGACAGTCTCACAACACGATACACCGAAGCACGATATTTTAAATTAATTGTCTAATATATTGCCAAACTTAATTAAATTTTAGTTCTATTAATCTTTTAAATAATTAAGATAATTTCTTTCCCATTTCACACTCATTATTTTTATTTAAATAAAGCTACAACAATTTGTCATAACGGTGCCCCCAAGTCGAACACATTTACGAAGTCCGCTTCAATTAAATGATTATTGAGCCTGTCCATACTTTTCTAAGTCCGTTACAAAATCATTTTGACATCGCCATATCGAAAACACATAATCCAGTATGTCCATTACACCCATATAACATTATCCAGTAACAAGTAACACTGATAAAAGTGCATTGTACATCGAGGTATAGTTGTAATCGTTATATTGTCGAATGATATGAAATTCCACTAGGTATCTCTCTTATGTGAAAAATAGTATATAAGTTACACTTGATAGTATGTATTGAGTGCGTAAATCAGGACTTTATCGTTATAGAAACAATCAATAGTATTGCGCGCACTATGTAGTTCATCCGTAATAATACAGTGACGTCACAGATTGATTAATAGTCCAGATAGCTTGTTTAAGTCATATAATTAAACATCAACTCTCGCTACATAGGCCTAAGGTTTAATATAAATCGTCTATTATCGATTTAGGTTATAATTACTTAAAGGTCCTATGCGCAGCCACACACGAGATCAGACAATCACGAGCTGCACGTGATTGTCTGATCTGTGCGAACATCATCACTGACTTATTAAGTTGTTCTATGGTGTATAGGAACTAATTTTACTATCTGTCTTGTGTCCTATAAGGCCTGTTGTAGACGCTTTACAACATACCCCTGCCATTTAATAATCTTGTGACTATATAATTTAAGTTCTTTATATATTTTAGATTTAAATTATTAATAAAATGATGGTATCCACTGCACAGTGCGCGAATATGCTCAAAGATATAATCAAAATACCAAACTATTTTCCTTCATCTCTGGGTAAGAAAATTGGCAGTATTTATCCGCACTTATGATTAAAGACGGATATTGTCTCACTTTGTCCAACACCACGTTTCGGATATTGACCGGTCAATGTCAACAATCAATATGTTTCGTATTATGATTATTTCTTGAAAGATTAAATTTATCTTTTTTTAATGTTATATTTTATTACATTTATAGACACAACTTGTTTATTGAGACTATGAACAATACTTTCACTAAATATAAATAATTACATAATATTTGTATTTAGAACTAATATATTAAAAAGCTATACGTGTCTTGAAATTAGAATGACCTTTAGCTTGCGAATTTGATATTATTTATGATTACAAGGGAATTACATTTACGATCGGTATACATATAAAAACGTTATTAAAACATTTACGACATACTGTGTACGAAAGGCATCTTCTGATTGGATTAAGGAATATACACCATTATTATTGATTTTCATGGAACAGGCATACGAGCAGACGGTTCACCTGATGGTAAAGTCATTGTCCCGTACCGACTTTTGAGTGTCTTCCCCAGAATTATGGAGGAGGGAGAGGATTGGGCTTCGGTAATTAATTTTTAAATACTTGTATAATCAATTATTGAATGTATACACAATCTGTACATCACAAGCTACTAATTATACATATTATTGAATAAAAATGTATGCATTACATAAATGTTAAACATTTTTATGAAAAAAGAGGAATTTGACTAGTGATTTGGTGGATATGTAGTCACTTATAAAGGGTTTAAACTACAGACTATGTTTATTACAAATTGTAATATTAACTATTACAGACATTACAAGTTATAGCGTCTTCAATTAATTTACCTATTATAAACGAACAGATGATAATAGCAAAAAAAGTGAAATATTAAGACTAGATAGATTATAACCTAAAATTCAGTCATGTCATTCACTAAGCACATTTCTGTTGCAAAAACTGCATCAACACGGGCAAGCATAACCCCTGTTCAAGTGTAAACATTTCAACTTTTGAACACACAGGATTCCTTGACGCAGTTTTCTTACAAGCAAAGCAATAAAAAGGGAAAAAATTGAACAATTAGTAAAATTGCACTTTACAAAATATTTTTTGTTTATAAAAATACGAAGAGAAAAAATTTCAGGAGACTTTGGTGCCTTTATAATCTCTTCGAATATAAAAAAGAATTTTTTGTTTTTTTTTTTAGTAAAAACTTATCGAACTATCTACGTCGTTTTTTTTTTTAATTTTATACCAAAAGGAAGATCATTATGCAACATGTACTAGTTCAAAAAAATATAAATATTAATTATATTTACATTAACAATATTAATAGGTGTTACGCTAAACATTAAATATTGCAATTATCATAAGTCAAAGTGTGAAAACTCGTATTTCATTTATCGCACGACATAAATATGAAAAAATATATTCTATATGAATCGCTATTTAAGTAAACTTCTGAGACAGCGATTTTATATGAAAATATAGGTAATATTTAGTACAAGTAACTATTTACAAAGATTACATTTTATTATAATGAAAAATATATTGAGTTAAATGAATACTGATTAAATAAAAATCCACTGGAATAATATTTATTGTGACTAAATGACGCGAAATAAATAAGAAAAGAAATCATGTGCCTTATAGTAAGCTTAATATAAATTATCTATAATACTATCACACGATTTTAGAAATTCAAATGACATGCTCTTGCAAATAGGATAGAACGGTACCGTTGGAACACCTGTCAATATTTTGACAGCTTTGACATAAACTGTCAAACGTACGCTATGTGTACATTATAATGAACATTGGCTCTTCCGCGTATTCTAATGAATTTATATTAGTATTAATAATTTTAACGTGTATTTGATATTTAAATTTCGAATAGTAACGACTTACTATTTATATTTGACATTCACATACATACATACGTGACGATTGCGTAATAATTTAATAACCGTGTGAAATGTACCTATACCGTATTTCTACTGTTTTTTTTTTAAATTATCCTATGAGGACACACGCAGTGGTATAATATCACAAATACCTTAGTTTTAATTTCAGTATTAACAGGAGCTTTGCAGTGAACAAGAGTTTGGTCGGCCTGATTACGAATCTGGGTCTTTCCACTTTACAGATCCCCCTTAATGTCACACGTCATAAGCGGATTGGGACATCATAGATATAAGGTTTTTTTCATCATTATTTTGGTTTTAATGAGCGGTGTAACTCAGTGCTCTTTAAAGGTGTTCAAAAGCAATTGCAAAGCAAATGCTTCGAGTTAATACTAAAATAAAATAATTTCATTGTGTAGTTCCCCTTAAATAGCCTACAGGTCTATTGCTAAGCAAATCAAGTAGAGTTCACAGCCTAAGCTAAATTGTAGGCACGTACAGAAAACGGGTCAACGCCCTATTGCTTTGTTGAGATGAGAATGGAAACAAGGTATGGGGGGTATGCAAATTAATATAAAATTAAATACATGGTCGTATTCATGAAAATAAACAACTTTTAGAAATTTTAATTATTTTTTTTGAGAATGCCATTTTCTGTAGTTCGTCTCGATTCATTCGCTTCAATTCATTCAACATTTCAATTTTTTTTTATTATCTTACCGTTTAACAACGGAATACATTGCTAGACTACATAATTTGCTTTATTTTTAATTTCATTATTCTGATACGAAACCTCTTTGGCGTATTATTTAGAAGAATCATTTTTTTGGACTATGATTTTATCCACTCAATTTATGGTATTTCGGGGATTCAAACCCGACGTGGGCCCTTTATCAAGAAGTGAAACGACCTGCCACGTCAGCATCAGGCGTCCTACAGTGCGACGGACGTTATTCATAGTCATGAGCACGATCATATATTTACATCTCAATTTAATTAGAATTCTTTAAAAAATAAACAAAGTAAAAGAAAATATACTCCACACAATGCCTAGAACAGCAATTATTAATATGCATAGAGGAAGAATCGTAAAGTATTGGTAATTTTAAACGTTCAGTGGAAGCAATTTTTGAGTTGCGTGTATGAAAAATCTAGCAATAAATATGCATTAAAATAATGCGATAGTTCCTAAATATCTTAGACTTATTAGTATTAGACTGCACGGATGGCGTGGTGGTTTAAGCGGTCACCTCGCTGCTTCCTAGCGCTCCCATATGAGTTCGATCCCCACATGGGACAACACTTGTTGTTGTTCTGAGTCTCGGTGTCCTTTGTGTTCGTCTCATGAATGTTTGTAAAGTCCCTGGCGGCACAGGGTTTATTCATGGTGCGGGCGTTGACTTAAAAAAAAAACAAGATGTTTCAATCGGGTAACCGACTGACTTAAAAGCATGCAATACTCCCTCCGCAAGAATAAGGAGGGGCGAGGTCCAGTATCGCCAGTGCTTTACACTGGTTTTCTGTGAGGCCGATGTATCACTGGTCGAGCCGGCCTATATGGCTCTCCCACTGTCAAAAGTGACACTATTGAACTTGTGTGGAGTACAAATGTAAACAATTTTATAAAAAGGAGTTCTGTATATAATATTAATAATATACTGTCGCTATCTTATCATTAGTGTATTTATAATTGAGATGTCAAAACCTTCTATTGCAGACATTGCACAATTGCAGTATTCATTACGAAATATTTAAAAAAAGGATTTTTATTTTGTTCTTAGATCATTACAGTTGAGATAGATATCGAAATATATACACGTCAAAATCAGACTTATATTTACGCTCATAAGGTACGAATTCTAATAAAAAAACCTTTCCCTTAGTGACGAAGTTTGGGGAGGTGAGTGTGTTTTTTTATTCCCTATGTGTATTAAAACTCGTCCGGAAATAGTTTTCAGTCAAAAATGAGATCTGCGACTACATTTTTGCTTGAGTAAGCTTTTCCCACTTATAGCTGTTAGGAGTTTAAAAAGACTGCTATGAGTATGCTGATAGATGCGCTGATTCGTATACACAATAAAGTTGTAATTAAAAAAACGGTATTAATAAAACATAGGGGTAAAATATTTAGGCTGTTTCAGAAGCCTTTTTGCTATGTTACAACTTCTATTCATGAATAGTATTTTTTTATCGAATGTTGTTTAGTTTTTAGTCCTTTAGTCACAAACTTTCATAGAGAAGGGAAGTTTGCTAATAAAGCAGTAAAAAACTACCGAATATACCTTTATTAGGATATATTCCGGCGTCCTACTAAGTAATTAAGCAGAACTTATGGGCACACGTTACTCTTAACACAGCTTCTTGAATAGCTAAGAATTTTTACTGCTTTTATTAAAGCCCAGTATTTTAGGATTGACGTGATTCCTTTATGTATTGATATAATGATTAGACACACTCACCCCACCGAACTAATAAAGTAACAAGACACCTCACCCAACTAACACTTATTAGTTCCTTTAGATCCGAACTCGTGTAATATATCGCAGGCCATTTCCAGATCGTTCCGAGTGATGCCCAATGCGCGTACGACTATGTCTTTAGGGTAGCCCTCGCCCACGAGGCGAGCGATGTAGTCTAAATTTATGTTTTCATACGATACGTTGTCGCCGTATTTTCTGCCGTGCTTGTCGTGTGTTAAAGGGTTGATTTTCTTGGCTGAAAAAAAAAGTATATTTTAGGACCTTTATCAATAATAAATTTATTCGAACATAACTAAAATATTATTTATTATATTAATTTTGGACGAACAACAAGTTTGTTAATATGTTTACATTGGTACACTATCAAATAGTATACTATATACAAATTCACAGAAATGATGTTAGTAAAAGTTTTTTTCAATAATTAGCTGCGTAATACGGCTTTTAATTTACATAAAGTATTTGATTTCACACACTCACTAGAGACTAATGGCCGTATTTTAAAAGACGTCTCAAGTATCGGTTGAACTCTGATTGCCTGAAACTATAGTGCAGATCAAAACTTAAGTATCGATCTTGTTATAGGACGCGTTTTAAGTTTTACTCAGTTAAAACTACTTTCAAGTATTGATTTGAACTTAGTCTGTTCTCAATTACGTATTACGCAGCTAATTATTGAAAAAAAACTTTTACTAACATCATTTCTGTGAATTTCTATATAGTATACTATTTGCTAGTGTACCAATGTAAACATATTAACAAGCTTGTTGTTCGTCCAAAATTAATTTAATAAATAATAAAATAAAAATGACTAGTTATCAACTATAACGGAACGTTCAAGCTATTTATTAACACTTGTCATGTTGAATTGTCAAACAATGTTTTTATTTTTATATCTTTAAAATTTATATTACTAGAATAATATTATACTTTTAACATAAACCAAAAGCTTGTGAATTTAAACAAGTATTGTGAGTGTAAAATCTGAATTTCAGTAAAAAAAAAGTATAACTTACGTAACACAGCCAATTCATTCTTCTCAACGGCAACATTCTCATACGGCGGATCCTTGGCATCTTCAGAAGGAAATTTAGGCATCGTAGTCGATTTAGTAGGTTGATCAACACTCCCACTAGTCGACGCAGGTAAAGATCTCTGCCTAGGCGGTGCCCGGCTTTCAACCCTGGTCTCCCTATCAAAACTATTCCTAGATTCTATTTGAGCTCTAAAATCTGGCTTTTCTGGAGGTCGTTCTGGCGGTAATCTAAAATCTGTATGCCTGTCTAGCCCATGTCGATCTAATTTTTGACTATCTACAGGCATATGTCTGTTATCCAACCTGGATTCAGGCAAGTGTCTTTCTTGTCTATTGTCTGACAAAACATGCCTATCTTGTCTTTCAGGTACGTGCCAATCTGCTAAGCGATTCTCTTGATGTCTTTCAGGTCTTTCCATAAACCTTTCTTGTCTATTATCTGGTACAGGTACGTGTCTTTCGTCTCTTCTGCTGTCTGGAATAGGAACGTGCCGATCTTGTCTCTGGTCCATTTGCCTAGTATCAGGAAGAGGCAACCGTTCTCGAGTTTCTGGTGGATTAGGAACTGGTCTTTCTATTCGATTATCCGGTAATGCTGGTACGGTTCTCTCTTGTCTGTCCGGTAAATGCCTATCGTGTCGATCCGGTATATATCGGCTGTCTGCAAGAATTCGGTTGTCCGGTTTTGGTTCAGTCGGGGTTGGTGCTTCGGCAAGACGTTCGGGTGGGGTTGCAGGAAGAGGTCTACTGTTTGATTGAGGGGTGCAAGCCCGACGTGGTTTTTCGAATGCTCTCGGATCTGGCGGCACCTAGAAATAAAAACGCTTTTGATCACAATTACATAATTACAAAATAAAGATATAGTTTTTTTTTTATGGAAGAGGGAGTAAACAAGCAGACGGGTCACCTGATGGAAAGAGGCTACCGCCGCCCATGAACCCCTGCAACTCAGGAGTCACAAGCGCGTTGCCCCTTTGAGGAAGTAGTACGCTCTTTCCTTTTATTTTTTTCATACAGTTATGTTTTTTTTTTTATGACTTCGTAGTTTCGTGATATTGTTGATTCAATTACACTACTAAGATTTCTTAGTAGTGTAATTGAATCAACAATATCACGCAATGGAAATTTGTAACTATTACACTTATTCAGAGTCCTCTAAATCTCTATGGCTTATGGCTGTTTACACTACAACTTCTTCTTAAGGAGTTCTGGGGACTCTCACATAAGAAGTACTAGAAAACATCTACAGCGTAAAGATATTTCTAAAGGATAGATTTGTTTCTAAATTCATAGGACCCAAATTTTAAAAGTAAATCAGGCTTATATCACTTACTAGGACTTTATCGATGTAATGCCTTAAGAAATCCGATGCGATGATTCTACTACTATTCTGGTCTTTACTTCTCTGCCCATAGGGTTCTTTCTATAATATGTATAATTAAATAAAATCAGTAGCTACTTACCTCATGTCTTGTGTCTATGACGCCAGTGATAGTTTCTGTTGAACCAGTGATTATGGAAGTCAAACGATGTCTCGAGTCCGGTTCAGGTTCTAATGACGATCTCCTTCTTGGTTCAGCAAAGACTACAGACATATATATACCTATATAATTATGTAGACAACGAGATCTTAAAATTATAGAAAAAGATGAATATTTGGCCTTTAACACTGTCTTGCAAGATGTTAGAATTGATGAACAAGTGTGGTCACTTAGGCAACTTTTTTGGCAATTTTAGGAATTACCCAAGAAAAAAACGATCTATAGACAAAAGAAAGCAGGCTTCAATTTTATGCATCTTTATCGTCTGTTACACTCGCCATCTATTCATACCATCATCATAGGATTTATGAAAGAGGACGTATCACGAGCTATTCCTCCATAAGATATTGGATAAAATTCAGAGGAATAACCTTCACGTTAAATAAATAATTTTCTCTATCCCTTATTCGGTAGACCGATGACACCGAGACAATGTTACCTTGTGAACTTGCAGCAGCAATGTCCTGCACGCTTGAAGCTGCCACTATAACCGGTTCTGCGGGCGAGAGACTCTTCCTCGGCGGCAAAGGCGGAGCTCTGAGCTCTCCGTACGCATTCTCAGCGGGCTGAGGGGCGCGCCGCGGGGCGCGGGGACTGTGGCGAGGGGACACGCCTGGCGAACGAATCGATGGTCGCAAAGCGTCTATTGTGGATGTTGCAGCATTAAATTCCGCCCAATCCTGTGAATTTAATTGTCGTTTTGCTAAGAGACAAACTTTTTAAGGAAGAATTTATGTAAAAACAGAGTTTCTTCATTTGTGTAGCCTTAACACACATTTCTGGATATCTTTTATAGTAGCAGTATTTGATCACATCTTATTATACAAGACACACATTGTCCCAAATACTCCAGTAATGGTGGATACCCGCAATGGGAATCATTATTTTGGCACAATTATCGTATAGTATTTAAACGTGGACATATAAACGTTGTGTACACCTCAAAAAACAGATAACTATTCGTTCAACCCTTATTTGCTTGTGTATAAAAAATCTCATTTAATACCGTAATAATAGAATTTATATACCCCTACAGTAATAATAGAATTTATATATAATCTTTAATTAATTTTTTATCAATTAATCAGAATTTTAATATATATACACACATATTTTTTAAATACTATAATTTTAAATATCAATCAATATATTGCTTAATAATTTGTATGCCCAAATGGCAGATCATGGAATGAACATCATTAATAATTATGTAATGAACACCTGTATGTAACCCATGTATCACAAATAAACGATTTGATTTGATTTGATTAGAACATATTTATGTAATTTTTATTTTATTGGTTTCAAAAAGAAAACTCTTTTAATTCAATCTTTTTTTATTGTTACGTGTGTTTTAAACGACATCTTGGTCATTTGTAAGACAATTTTATAACTTTCGTTTTGAAAAAATTGATTGTACTCAGAGTTGGTTTGAGAACAAATAACCATCCATGAAGGTGGAAAAGTAAGGATTGAAGAAAAGGTTGGTACAATTTATCATGATTTAAACTATTTTGGAAAATTAATGATATGTAGGTACAGTATATGATAAGATATAATAAGTATGTTATGTTCATAACTTTTACATTCCTTGTATCTTTGCTGGTTAGGTATTGAAGAGTTTAGAACCTTAACATTTAAATAGCTTGACGAGATTTAGAAAGACTAGCATTATTGCTTCCAGCTAATGTTTTGCCAAGGCTAAGTGACCATGGTTCACCACCACCATGCTGTTCATGGTTTATTTCTCTGCAAGCTACCACAAAGGTCAAGAACAGTAGTCTGAAGAGCTAAACAGAATAATTCTGTATTTTAAAAGACAACTCCTGCAATAGGAACATATTATGTGTCGCGGGGGACATGCAACGGTGATGATGAATGGGATTAAGGATATGGAGTGTCATTACCACTATTCATCCCGACATAGTAAGAGCCGACTAAGGGAGCAAACTACGCAGGATAACAGCACTGCAAAAGAAAGGAAAACTTGACGAAAACTATATCCTATATACCCCTATAAATTTAAAACCCATTAGTGCCAACGGTAGTAGTATGTGATAATTTGAAGTATTTCTTAAAGCGAATATGGATACTAGTTTACCTTTATGATTTATTATCTTGCAATCGTATTTTAAGCTTGTGCAAATAACTACATACGTATGTATATGAGAATGATAAGTGGGATGTAACTAAAACGTCTTCTACATGCACTTATGCAGACATTCACAAACAAAAAAGATTTGATGTTCTAAATTCAAATAATTTTATAGTGAATTGCCATGTGCATAATTCCTAAATTGTGTTCGTGCAAAGAAATACTAAGAGGTAAATGAAACCAAAACACACAAAGCACATATCACCAAGCGTATATTTTCAACATAGAAATAATCTTAAAAATAAATAATAAAGTAAAATAAGTAATAAAATTAATTTATTGCTTACTGTCAATAATACGCACTAAGCGTAAACGTAACAAAATGTCCGAAGTACTAACTTAACGTTAATTAAAATACAATGTGCTATCAGAGTTAAATCCTCAATTGAATAAAAATTTACTAATTTCATACAGTGCGTTAACAGATTTAAAACATCTTCCATACACCACCTTAGTAGATTCGTTTTATATAAAAATGAGACGCTAAGCACTTCATACATAATTAAAAAGTTTAAATTAAAACTTAAAAAAATATTTACATTTCGTCAAATCTTTCTCCATTTGATCGCAAAACCATGAATTTAATATAAAATCATAAATTAACTAAATTATTGCATGAAACGCACTATGATTCTAATAATAATAATTGAGAATAAACAAAATGTTGAAAATAAACCCATTTTTCATGGTCTAAAATTAACGACTAAATTATTTTTACTGGACGCTAAAGTGGTAACCATCTTAAAATTTAAATACCGTCGCTAATAATAATTATTTTGCAATACTGTTGCGAAAATAAATATTCTTAAATAAAATAAATATCATTAATAATATATTTTATTCTTTCACAGAATAATGGGCTCTAATATCTAAAAGCCTAAGTACCACTTTAGCAACCAAAGAGTAAATGCCAAATTTTAATAATGATATTCAACACGATTGCATTAAGTAATAAGTGACTTTTAAACGTTGTCATTCATCTTAGGAGTGGTAGAAATAACAGCGCAGATAATTTGTTCCCTAAAAGAAAAAAAAGTTTTTGATTTATTTATCTAATGAATTCCCGTCCCGTCGATGAGACAAGACTACCTATTGCTACATGACAAGTTGGTTTCCATTTGTTCTGAAACGCCAAAAGCCACTTACCTATATCGACAAACACAAATGAGTTTGTGTTACACAAAATGTATTACTTAAATAAATAAACAAAAATAGTGTTATTGTGGTGGAAACGTATCAAATTACCAAATTTTTTTTTTTAATGTAAAACATCAAAAATGCAAGAGGGCATTGCATACGTACGTACATAATTTTACGGCCATACTTCACATGATGATGTGATGACATCAACAGTCTTTAATATGCTGGACATATAATGCAATAGATCATACACTATCTCTTTTGAGTCTGATTACCAATTGTAATTTTTATCTTTGATACAAATCCACTCAGTTCTACTTGAAATGATCAAGTTTGACGAATTAGGCTTACCAGTTTTGAACAATTAACATAAAAACATATATTGATGGAGTTATTTCCAAAGATCTTTTTTAATTTACTTATTTTTCTTTTACCTTAAGTACCGTTTAGTTACGAGTATATTACATCAAGATTAGATTTTCATTCGATTTCAATCTTAAGGAGGCATTTAGTGTTAAGAATTATATTTAAATTAAACAAAGGGCTTATAATTTAAAAGGTATTGCATTTTTGTCTTTTGTTCGCATGTTTCTAGTTGAAAACATCGATAAGTAAAATTTATATTTAAAAACTAAGTATTCAACTATATAGAAATAACGTATTAATGAGTCTGCAAAAATAATTTCTAATTTAGTTAGTTATCTAAAAAAATCATAACGATTTAGTCCCGTTTTCTTAGCATTTTTATTAAATGATCCACGTCCCTGGCAAGCCAACTTCGTTTCATATATGTCATAACAAACACAAAAAAAACATGCTTCAGAATACACAGTACATAAGTACACAACGATCCTTGCTTCGACGTCGTCAAGCAAAACTACCCGTGCAAGCTAAGCATGCGGTGATTTCCGCCTCAGTCTCTGCAAACAGACAAAATAACATTACATATGTTGTGCATGCACAGGTCGACATATATCTGTGATTTGACTAATTAAAATATAAACATACGACACTAAAACAGTAATGTATGCTAATTATTAAAAACAAAACAACGAAAATAAATTAAAAAGCACTTACAGAATTTAATTATGTCTTCGGCAATCTTCGCGCAAATTCGGAGACGAAGTTACTGGCCGTATTTAGCTTCTTTGTCACTCTTTTACACACACAGTCCGATAGACGAAGAATGCCAAAGCATACATAATTTTCCGACTTAATACATTTATTAAAAGCTGTATCATTGGTTTACATTTTTAAAAATTTTAAATAAAAAAAACCACAGATAAATGTCAACCCTGTAAAGAAATGAGAAATAAAAATAAAATGAGAGAGCGCGTGCATAAGCACTAACTGATTTCAAAACATGCCACGCGCAAACATAAATGCACAACATGCCTTAAGAATATAATATAGAACACGACATATTATTATGTAGATAAAGTGTGTGTATGTGTGTCTCTTAGCAGAATTTTTATATACCTATTTTTTTTCGAATGTTATATCCAATGCAATATAAATTCAAATTTACATACTCATAACTTGGTACGAAGTCCAATCATATTAGAAATCTAATGAACAGGCTTTTGTGCCATGCCACGTGCCTATTATATTTTTTACATGTCATAAACAAATATAATAGGCACGTGTCGACTTTCGTACACGTTTGTACATATTTAAAAAAATATTAATAAGAAGGGGGCTCGTGGCTGAATGGTAATGGAATAGGTTATCACATTGCAAAAGGTAAGCAATTCTAGTCAGGTCAATTTCTGGATCGGTCACCATTCTTAACACATTAGAGATTCCTCCATGCCTCGGAGATCACTATAAATCATGGGTCTCGGTTGACATACGAACATCTGTGGCAACCATTACGGGTACTTGGAGCCCTGAAAAGTCTGACAACATACTAGGGCGGGGCTTGAGAGATTAGCCAATAGATGTTTGAACTTGATATCTCAATGGGGTGAACGTAATCGCTTAACTTTTGCACCCAACAAAACCTTCCAGCTACTTTTAAAAGGTAACCTCAAATCACCGCCGAGCATTAGATTTGACAATGTTACTGTAAAAAATAAAACTACAGTGTGTTATCTAGGATTAGTTTTAGAAAGAAACTTTTCATTTATCAAACATATTAAAATAGTAAATGAAAAGTCTAAAAAGAGTTTCTGTGCATTGACAAGGATATCAACTGCGACATGGGGTCTATCATTTAATACATTAAAGATCATATACGGAGCTACTTATTTAGGTTCTATGTGCTATGGTGCACCTGTATGGGCCGATAGGGCGACCGTAGGCGCTGTCCGTCGCAAACTGTTACAAGGCCAACGACTTGCACTGATATTCTTGTGTAAGGCATATAGGACGGTTAGCACTGAGGCTTTGCCGGTGTTGGCGGGTGTGCTTCCGGTCGATCTCGAGGTGCAGAGACGTGCAGCCATGTATTATTCAAGACAACAAAACATGGAATGCGATTTTTTGGGCGCGCGGGATCGCGCTAAAATTACAAGATTGCTTCAACAGCAGCCCGATGTCTATAATGACCTCATAGGCGAATGGCAACAACGCTGGGATGAATCATCCAAGGGGCGCCATCTTTACCAATTCTTTCCATCTATTCGCGAACGGTTGTCGAGGATATGGCTTGAGGTGGATCACTGTGTCGCTCAATTTCTTACGGGTCATGGTAACTTTAAGAGCAAGCTTTATTCATTTAAATTAGTCGAGTCACCATTGTGTCAATGCTCAACACCTAACTCTCACTATGAACAGTCTGCTCATCATATCCTCTGGGAATGTAGTCTTTGGTATAATGAACGTAATATAATGCTGAATAGCTTGCAGGTGACATCTGGGGCGGTATACTATGGGGATCTTGTGTCAACTAGGGTGAATTTCCGTGCGTTTAGGCGATTCTGCCATACATATTATAGAAATCAAACATAGCTCACGTAGGACCCGTAATATTTGTGGCCGTGGTGCTTCCCTGTTTAAAAGGGTGTATGCCCATTTTACTTCATTTTGTCTCCCGCTTTGCTAAGGAGGGAAGTGGATTTACTGTATTTCCAACTCCTCCAATTTTCTTCTGATTAATTTCGTTGCGGGTTCCAAGACAGTTTAATTTCTTCCTGGGACTTCCCGAGTGTCATAACTCGGTGTGTTCGTGGGTCACTGCTGTGGATCCTGGTGTACAGGAGTTACAGTGGTGGGCGTGTGGGTGGGATTAGAAAAAAAAAACAGTCTATTTACAGAACTTAGATATGGCCCAGTACTTGGGTTGTGGAGGTCTGATGACAGTTACTCTATGTATAAAACCGAAGTGCCGACGTATCGTAAAAGACTTGAAACCGACCCCAACCTAAAAAGGCTCGAAGGAGGAGGTAGAAACAAATTCGTCGTCGTCGTCTTTTACATAAAAAACTTAAAATATGCTAAATTTCACATCCTCCGTGAAGAAGAGGTACAAAGAATGATCAATGCGTGCCCCAATCGCCCCTACGTCGATGCCGATGAGTTTAATCGCTGAATATGTATGCTTCACGCATAATATTGTTTTAAGTAAGTAGCTAAGTAACGCTTAATTACGTTACGATTGCAAGCGACTTTAAACAACCCCCCCCCCCCCGAGGTGTTCCACCCAGTACAATTGAAGGGTCCATTGATTATTGAATTGTAAGAAAAAAAATTACAAATAATCAAGATGTCAATTTCGTGTAATTTTGTAATGTAGATTGATACATCTACCAATAGAATACTGCCCACTGCCTCAACCAGTGCTGACATATCCAACGGTTGTTAACAAAAGTTTCAGATAACGATGTAGCCTAACACTTAATATTACCTAGTAGACTTATTACTTAGTTACACTTAGATAAAGATTCTTTTAAGATTTATATTTATTAACTAGATTTTAATGTCGTATAGATTCCTTGATGCTCAATTACAAATAATTATGTTCTCTTTTGTACTGTCAACACTATTGCTAAGTATTCTATACGCAAATCTCTGTATTTACTTTGAAGTTACCGTCAGAATTATATGTACACATTCCACGTGTTTATTACAACTTCTTTCATCACACAAATATGTTTATAGGTACAAAAGTTAATGCTTACCTCCGAATCATCAATATCGTCCGTGAGTCCATTGAAAGTTGTGTTCCTTGATGACCAGCCGTTCGAGTTTCCAGATATTGTGACGTCAACGCCTACACATAAAATAATAATAATATTACGTGACGTCCCATACACAGATGTCTGACCCCAAACTAGGAAGCTGTACTACACTGCTGCTAAACGTATTTATATCCATACATACATATTATAAAAAACTTACATCCACACAACAAAATATCGTACTTATCACGCAGTAATTATTTATCCTCGGGGAATCGAACCCATCACTTACGTAACTATACAGAAATGGATACCAGTAAAAAAATCTAATTACTCTCTTTAAAAATAATATCTTGATACACCTCCTCTACGGCCGTCTGATTTCAAGCTAGGCAGATCCTATACTATGGGAACTAGATGATAAACATACTTATACATTACTTAATAGATTATATAGAAATTAGACATACAGAACAAACTATCATGCTCATTACTTCGCACAGGTGGGATTCGAACCTACGACCTCTCCCTCTACAGTCGGGGTCACTAATCAATAGACCAATAGCCAAAAGGCCACTTTTCCTTTCATTTGCAGTGCTGATGTTATGCGTAGTTTGCTCCCTTGGTCGACACTCACAGGATAAATACGGATGGTGACCTTCTGTATTCAAAGAGAAGGAAAACTTGATACAAACCCTATACCAAACCTGTCTAGCCTTCGTGGTATAGTAGGCCAAAACCGCCTTTCTAAGGAGAGGCCCATGTCCAGCAGTGGCTGTTGATGTGATGATGTGATGTGTTCTTATGAGAATTAGAGAATGTACTTACTGGATCCATTACAACCCGACGATCCGGACGATCCTGACGAATTTGATGACACAGATTTAACTGCAGTTTTTGTGTTGCCACTCCTGAAAATAACAATATAAGATTCGAGTCTATTTACCACGAATGCACTATCTGGATATCGGCGAATAACAAGTAACTATTAGTGTTTATTTAATGTTTTATGTTAAAGAAAATGTGCGCACACCACAAATGTTTTCAACACCAGCTGGCAACAACAATGTTTCACGCAATGTATTAACTAGCTGGTACCCGCGACTTCGTTCGTTCGTGGAATTTGAAAAGCACTGCCTTAGTGGTGTAGTACGGTACGTCACTGCAGTCCATGAAGCCTCGGAGTTAAGTTACTCTTTATATAGACAGCTACCTGGTAGTAAAATATTATTAAAATCAAATATATTATCACATATAAAATTACAATCGTTTTGGAGAATATCCGGAACAAACAGACAGACAAAAAATATTTAAACTGGTTTTTATGCATAGGTATCATGCAAATAACCGTGTGAGCATGAAAAAACTTACTAGTTTGACATGACAAACATACATTTTTTTTTATTTGTATAGTTGTATTCAAGTGGTCTTCGTATAAAGCTGAAATATATAAACATATCAAGACTTAAATTTAAAATTATAGTAACACATTGTAGATATAACTTATTAGTTAATTTACCGTATCTCATTGATTTTTTTTTGTTTCAATTTGTTTAACGCCTAACTGAAGTTCTATTACCGCAATTGTGAATGTTGTGTATAGTTTTAATCAGACTTCAGATTTGAAATTGTTATTCTGATTGTGTGTTATTGTTGTTCTGTTGTCTATAACTGTAAAGTAAAATAACCAAAACCAAACTCCGAATATCCGAAATAAATATTTGCAGATCATACAAATATTTGGTCCGACCTGGGGATCAAACCCGAGACCTCAGCACAGCAGTGGCATACGATACCACTGCACCACCGAGGCAGTGTTGTCGGAAGCAATACGCCAAGGAATATGAAGAGAAATTACTTCGTAGTAATAGGCATATTGCCGGACTCCGACTGACTTATTCCCCGACCGGGGAATCGAACGAGGATTCGACAATCACACACACTTATTGCACTTAAATATAGTTCTAATTTCGGTATCACTTATTACTTACTTATCTGAAGTAGTATTAGGTGGTCGTGGCGGGACAAACGCGTCCACCACAACCTGTTCCGTCCCTTTGATCTCCGCTCGACAGAACGGACAACCCTGACCTTCCGAATCCTAAAACAAGATATTTTTCGTTAATAGCGTACAAATACTAGTCAAAATACGACTTTGACAAGGAGGGAACTATTACATTTCGACAACCCTGTTTTCTCCCTTATAAAGCTTTAAAAACCTCATCAGGCAAAAACAACATTTTCTTTCTTTCACACACAAAGCCTCAGTATCTACATTTTTTTATCAAATGAATGTTCTCATTCAGCGCAATGAATAAAAAAAGACTTTTTTTTCCTAATTTTGATTATGGTCGAATATTAATCCATTTTAAACTGGCATATTTTCTATTCCTGTACATATTTCTAGTAAATTTAGCAACATCTGCATAATAATATCATCTCGCATCATATACCATAGCATGTTTAAGAAAATCATGACGAGGAGCATAAAAAGCCTAACAAGCTTAGCCTAACTACGTGCCTCGGAGAGCATCGGTCCTGGTTTCCATGCGAACATCTGTGGCAATCATCAAAAATTGGCACCGTAAAAAGTCTTACGATAGTCTATCTACAGAACTTTGATAGCGCCTAGTACTTGGGTTGTAGAGGTCTGGTGCCCAAGTGTGAGTATTTATCATCTACTTGCTCTCCACAGCGAGCGCGTTAAGCGTTGTGATTGGTGGAGATTTCAGTGTGGACCAATCGCAACACCGAACGCGGTCACTGCGATGAGCACTTAGGCCACTGATGGCAGTTGCTCAACGTTAAAAATCGAATTTCAGCCGTGTCGGAGTAGACTGAAAGCCGACCTTAAATTAGGCTCGGAGGATGATAAGGATGACGACACATTATGGCGAATACTTACAATTTGCCACGCAGTCAAACAAGGAGTACATAGTAAATGTCCACACGGCTCTATCCGAATGTCCTTGTCGTTCTCTGCGCATATCTTGCATAGTTGGAACGTGCTACCTGAAATAGTAGAAACATTAACATTACTAATGTTCTCAGGTTAACTATTATTATATCAAAATGCGATATAAGATATCATCCTGTGGCGCCTGAAAACAACTTGACAACCTTGTTATGGAGCCGCTGTAGGGACCAGGTCAGAATTATAGGTAAGAATACCAATGTGTTGTATACTAAAATTTAGGTTCTTTTTTTCTTCATAAGAGTTCACTACCTTTCTGAACCCATCGACTTGAAGATCTTTATCAGCTTATTATCAACTTGACACCACTCTTGTGGTTGCTCAATCGCCCTCGTGGTCACAACTCTGTAACTGGTTTGGTCTACCGTAAATCATTCCTTACAACCGTAGTATACCTTAAGCCCTGTATCAGCATATATTGACTGTGATCTCGTAAGTAAGTAGTACAAGATGATCATGATAACGTTATGAATGTAATAAAAACTCAGTTTATGCTAACAATTTTTAGACTTGGTATAATTCAGGCAAATAGGCATGAGTATTTATGAGTATGTATACAAAACATTCAAAATTCTAGCCCATATTAAAATTGTTACTTGTAGCATGAGAATGTACTGACCCATTTCACAGTACAACTCGTACTGTTCTTGAGTAACGGTGATGTGATCTTCAGAAGGTGAAATAATCGCGCTGCTCAAATCTGGGTTTAAGTCTTTCCCCGCTGGATATAAATAGCTAAAAAATGATAAAAAGAGTACTGAGTAAATTTATATTATTTTATTTGTACAAGAACCTAGGTCATTTTTGCATAGCACGACGCTCACTTAACATCAAAAGAAAGAGTGACACCATGGCCTCACAGAAAATATTAAGCAAATGTTTCGTTGCATTCAATGAGGTCGGAGGACACAGGAAGCTAATCCCTCTCTTCTCTTTATTCTGGAGGTCCCCCTCCAGAATAAAGAACTGTTGCAGGCAAGTTGCAGGTGTCTATTGCGAGGGAAAAAAATATTACAAAGTCTTTGGCGTAAACGGAATTTTGGCACTCATTTTTAAGGACTCTCATTCAGTAACTGAATAAAAAGCAAACGATACTTACAATCCCTCTCTATATCCATCCAATAGCGCCTGAACAAGGCTTTTGTTCTGTGGTATTGTCTGGAGGATTTCGCCTTCGACTGTGACGTAACCAATCGCCCACTGCCCTAACCGCGTACATGATAACCTGAAATTTTAAATAGTTTTATATCTATATATAGACGTGTATTTGAAGGCATTGAAGAGCTTTACAATACTTTGCCTTTTTTATTGTTTCATTTTATATCTATTCCTACTAAAGAAACGCACAGGAGGCAAAGACACTAAAGACACACACTAACACAGTTAAAACTTACCTGAAGACGTAACTCCCGGGTCTGTGTATATACTTGTGAAGAAGCGCTTTAACTTCATCGTAAGTAAGAAAGGCTACGTAACCAGGGTGCGTCACCGCCAACAGTTGCCAGTTACGTAGCAAGGTACTCCAGGGTTGAAATAATCTGAAATTAATAAGAAATATTTAGTAGTAGCTGTAAGCTGCCATGCTTCGCTGTGGCACATTGTGGTTGTATTGCGGCGAAATGAGAAACAAAATTGACCCAAAAGTTGGGTTGTAAGTCGTGTCAAAAGTTGAGCTCATCATCAATCATCAACAGTCCTTACTAGTCCAGTGCTGGACATAGGCCTCTCCTTAGAAAGGAGGTTTGGCCTACTAAACCGCGCTGGGGTTCGTTTCATGTTTTCATTCTCTTTGCAGTTCTGTTGTCCTGCGTAGTTTAGTTAGTTTACTCCCTTAGTCGGCTCTTATGTCACCCACGGGATAAATAGGGGTGGTGACTGTATTCTTAATCCCTCACCACAAGGATTCTCGTAAAGTTGTTGTCAAGTTGAGCTCAATCGGTGCACAACTTTTTGAGTATTTAAAGCGTACACAAATCAAATTAATATTTTAATATATCTCTATATATAAAATAAGCTACAATTAGAACATCAAATAGCTATGTTTTTCTAGGATAAATTCAAAGAACTCATTTATTATCTATGTTTTCGCAATCGTGAAGTCTTGGATAAGAAAAAGGTGTGGCAAAACACCACGCAAAATTCTTAAACTGGATAACACCCATCACGCTGTATATACCACAAACAGTACGTTGACGAGAACCAGTATAATTATTAGGTGGGATGTTGACACCCACATCTGCCCATGCGGTGACTAGTTCACGACAAATTGCTTATATGGTTTGTATTTGTGTTCATTGCGTTTAAGAGAAAATCATGTACAATAAGAAAAATGTAATAAAATCAGTGGTATTTTTGTCAATTTTGTTTCTAATTTTACATTCAATATTTGCAAAAACTAGAAACAGCATAAAGGATTCAGAATATTTCTGATGAATCTGGAAACGAACTACTAGCAAGTAATTATTGAAGGGGTTAAGGAGATCGTTGATATATAAATGCTATTGAAGAGTTATGCTTTTGGAATGTGTAACGACCTTTAAACTGAAGGAAATAAATGAAATAAAAGTACATGTTTACTTAACTCACAATGACAGTTGGAATGGAAAGTCTTGCTAATTACCTTGTAAACACATCAAACTCAAAGTTGGATATGAAGTCGTTACATGTCAGATCTATTGTAGTTTTCAACGCCATCGTCTCCAGCCCAGAAGATATTGGGTGCACGTTGTTAAGCTCCTCACGGAAAATCTTCCACGGTACTAGAGTGCTGGAAATAATAACAAAAAGTATTTTAATTTACAAATGTCGGATTAACGGTCCAGTTTTGTTATTTATTAGATCTATTCATATCATTTAGAAATAAGAATCGAAGCGGTAAATATACATTCTCATATCTGCTTCATCGCTTCCGTTATTTTTTACACTGCTATTGCCATTTATTCTTTAAATTAAAGTTTAACAGATGCAACAGGTACCTAAGGATCACAATACTATCACCTCGCCGGAAATAACGTAACTAATTATAGATTTTTGCCAAAACAAACGAATTTCAAAAGAGTGTTTCAGTCAAGTTGTTCGACATGAACTCAAAATTAGTTACATAGCTTTCGAAGCTTTGTTAGAGGTTATTTTGTAGGTTTATTTATTAAGCTTTTAAATATTTTGAATAGGCGTTTCTGCCCAATTGTCACAGAGTATGCACTGATCATTATTTTCTTCAAGATAAATATTTTATATGGCGTCTACTCTTACTTTCAACTTTTGCAGATCTATTTGCAGAAGCTTTTTTCTCTTTGCTATTCTAAAGTTATATTGCTATTTTAAAGTTTTATTATTTTACTTAGGAATCAAATTCTTGAAGTAAACCTGTATGAAACTCTAAATCATTAATCAAACTAGATTGCCAATTATAATGTTAGATATATGCCCCCGCAATAATTCATAACTGTGAACGTGACTAAATGGTATGTAAGAGAATATACATAAAATATAATGAAGGCACTGTCTGTTTTCCAATTAGTAGAATTAATTACCAATATTCGGCAACGGAAGACTGACTGCACGAGTGATTATTGGGCCGTCCTCACCGGATGTAGGTAAGTACATTGAAGAGGAACGTGGGCTAATGTGTTTATAGGAAACCCTACAAGGGATGGAATATTAGATATATTCTTCTTCTAAGAAAATAATAACTAGTACGATATGATATGATATATGTATAACAGCTGAAAGTAACTATAAACTGACCAAATCAAAGGTCGTGGGTTCGATTTTCACTCGGTACAATTAGTTTATATAATATTATTGTTTGATGATGAGCCCGGTTTGCAGCAATAGCTTCCTCTTATGGAAATGAGACAGAAGAAAAAAATATGGCATTATTTTCATATTTTTAGTAAAAGAGAAGTAAAAAATATTTCAACACCTATTTTGCCCCACCCCCTTCTTTTAATTTAAATGTGACCAAATAGAAACTATCCCCTTCCAAATATAAAATATAGGTATAACCAAATCAAGATCCTGTTTTTTTGAAGTCGGTTATTTAAACGAGCCGCAAAACTATTCGCATGTATAGTTTTTTGATACTAATAAAATTTAAAAATGTTTACAAGTACTTCTGGTAAAAAAATAATTTAGACAGAGGTATTACATGGAGCACAACTTACAAAAATCATGTGCCTACCTTGTTTTGTATGTAAAAAATGGTTTATTTCGCTTTAACGGTAAACTGCAGGTAAATAAGTAAAGTTGTCAGTAAATGGATTTAGTGTACCAAAATCTTCGCAGACCTTATCTTCTTATATACGGCATTGTTTCTGAGACTGAATTGTATATAGGATAATATAATGGAATTAAGCCACAAAGGTGTAATCATCGCAAACTTTGTTAACCTTTGCCATCGATTTTTCCATTAATAGCCTCATACTCTCTTTACCCGGAAAAGGGGAACCGAAATGGAATTTGCATTAAGCATTTAATTCATACGGAGTATGTGAATGGAAACATACTTAAGTGTTAATACACTCTATAGTAGAGTTAATTAAGCGTATTTATATGTACGTATGCATTTGCAAATTAATCCGTAGTACGGAACGGTTGTAGTACCTATACTAATGTGACATCTTGTGCTATATTTGTTTTATCTTGTATCAGCGCTTGGAAAAAAAAAATTGCGTACTTGTGAACACAGATACGAACTACATTGGAAATAAACCATGAGAAAATAGAAGTGAAGAGAAGGAAACGAAGAAGAAACTAATTACTTCTATTTATAAACATTCTAATTACCATGATCGTAAAATTAGAATTCTGTTATATATTAAATATAATTTAACGGCTTTCTTTTTTTCCAGACTCAGCAATACATTTAGATATACTTATAGCCATCAAAAATAACGAGTTGCTTATTAATAAAAATGCGACTTTTCCCTAAACATTAATCAAGACTGTTGACTGAGTAGCATCATCAGTTAATAAACCGTGAATGGTACAGATAGGTAGATGCGCGACTGGTGATTATTATGAAACTAACATTTTTCAACCGTCTATTAATTACCTAAACGATTGTTATGACGAAGTACTTCATTGTGGCAAACATGTCACTCACTGACGAAGAAGCTACTGATCAAGGGAATTGCTGAAGTGGTAGTACATGGTTCACTTGGATCTGGCCAGTCTAGTTTTCAACACAAGCATTGTGCATTGCTAAAGAGAAAAATGATTTAATTATATTTCCTACCCACAAATAGATTCTGGTGAATTATTAATTTTTGGGCTCTAAACCAAATCCTATCTCATGAACTTCTTATCTTGTTTCTCTTACTATATGGAAATCACATCAGTGTGTGTATACTAAGATCTACTTAGTTTTACTAGTCTATATATATAAAAATGTTAAGTTGGTTTGGGTACGCTTCAAAAAATTAAATAGTTCTGCCCCGATTAAGCTCAAATTTTGACACGATATACTTATTCAAAGAGGGTTTTTATCTATTTCTTTCAAACACAATGTGCCACCGCAAAGCGTGGTACGATACAGCCAGTTTGTTAATTTAAAAATAAAACTCGAATAAAGATTAGAGTTCAGTGTGGGGACATGAATTATCCTTATATTTTAATGGCAATTTCCCCTTCAATAAACGCAGCATGTACCTGCGTTTCGTGTTCTGCAATGCATTTATTTATAGTACTTATTATCATTGTAAACACAATCATTGTATAATCACCATCAACCTGTGGCAGTCCACTGCTGGGCATAGGCCTCTCCCATTGCACGCCACTTAGATCGATTTTGGGCTTCAGATAGATACAGATATATATTTAAAAATATGAATGAAATTAAGTTACGGTCACTGCATTATATTTTGGGACACATAAAAGCAAGTGTCCGATTTGCATACAAAGATCCTAACTTGCCCACGTATTTTAAAACAATAGGTATATCGCAACGTGAATCAAGGTCCTTGACGGCGTGAATTGGAAACAAAATTTACATACCACAATATTATTATTTAAGTCAATGCACTTTCAAGTACAAATTTTAGATTAGCAAATTTCACGCTCACAGTCCGCTGAAGTCTTGAATACTGTAGGAAGCATAGGATTGGATATATCTAAGTCATAATACGGATGTTATGAGCATCTCTAAGTACCAGCAACCGTATAACATTCTGTAGGACTTGTTCTACTTTGCATCTTATTTGTATAAGTAAAAGAAATTGGATATTTCTTTTATGATTAATATCTACTATCGCTTTCTTGTATGCACCAGTAGTCTGACTATGAATGTTTGAATGACAGATTTGATTCCTATTGTGACAAGCTAAAGTCACTAATTTTCTAACTCCGATATTCTTTAATAAATATTTATGAAATAGTAATGGAAACTCCATTACTATTTCATAAGTTTCATCAGTTTCTCGTGTTGTCTACAGGCTCATCTGGCAGGATTTCAGCAGTCATGCACAACATATTTATACATATTTTATTTTAATAACGTTACTTGAATGTTTTACAGCTGTAAAAAGTTAGCTGAAATTTCCGAGAACGTCCGAAAATAAACTTAAACTCCATTGCCACCCTAAAAAGATACGTACACATTGCATATATTTACATATGTTAGTAAGTATGTATGTTGTATATACATTTAGGTACAGATTAGTCGCGTCGACACAACGTTGGCGACGGATATAGCGAGGGTCACACTAACAAGGATCACCTATGTCCTCACCGATTAAATATATGGTTCTTATATTTTGCTATTAAACTAATTTTTTGCATGCGTGTCACTCATGAAATAAAATTTTCAAAAAATTTTAGATAGCAGTTATAGGAAATGCTTCGGATTTGAATATTCTATTTAGAAGAGTAAACAAATGATAAGCAAATCACAGTATGTGGACGACATTCAAAACATCACAGATTTAACTTGATTAAAAATATTCAATTTATACTTAAAACTTACATTTATAATAGGTATTGACTTCGATTTCCGGTAAACCAAATATTTTTCAGAAATAGTTTACTGAACTTCGAGTTTGCCCTAGAATTTATATTGACAAAATAATTCTACAGTTTGTTCTATTTGTGGTTTTCTTGTGAAGCAACGCTCTGAATTTTCTTCCAAATTTTGAAGCGTTATATACTGCTTATAAATTGTCGCGGTGAAATTCCTTATACACAGAAGTATTCACCTATATTTTCTTTGGATAGGTTTAGTACAGTCACCTATTGAAGGTGGAACCTATAGAAGGTAGGTACTGTTTTATCTAATATTTTACCTATACTGCTTTTTAGACATTTAAACGATTTTGTTGCCAAACCTAAAATTTAGAGAAATGTTAAGAATTCTGAAACTTTTATTAGCTAAAAAATCTTAGTTTATGGATGGAGAATTGTTCAGTGTTGCAAGCTTCCGCGAGGGTAATACATTCACTAAGTTGAGTAATATTGCATTGTAAATTAAAAGTGTTAATGTTAGTTAATTCCCTAATGAATGACTAAAACAACGGTGAGCACACTCAAATACATTTTAAAGTCAGTAATTAATCGCCTTTCCTCTACACCTCGAATGTTTCTGAAACAATAATTAAATGCATCTAAAACTAAGGCTTTCAACATTGCTTTATGACTCAGTGAATATGTATCTATGTCACGTCGTCACTTCGCTTATAAGGCGGTGCAGTGCATTTGAAATTCATACAACACAATAAGCCTCTTCATATAATGCGGGTGGATACCGACACCGAATAAGTATTATCAGCACAGAATATTCACGATTCGCAGAAACATATCAGATAACAGTCTTTATTGAGATTTTCTGTAGATCGCTTAGACAGGGACTTCTTAGACCGTCTTGGAATTCCGTGTTTTCCACCTGTTTTTTTTTTATCCCAAATAAATTAAAGAAGTTACTTTTTTGCTAACAGGGTTGAAAATCCCGTCGGATCTCTCTGGTGTTGCCACAAAAAACCACTCCGAGAGCCGGCCTCTGGACAGGGGCCAGAGGCCGGCTGTCGGGTGACTCTTGGGATATTGAAGAAGTTTAGACCAAATTTTTTTTATGTCAGAGGGGGCAGACGAGCAGACGGGTCACCTGATGGAAAGCGACCATCGCCGCCTCTTAGAGAGTACGCTCTTTTCTTGAAGATTTGAATGTTTATTTATTTATTTAGGGCCTTCTTTAATTTTAGGTTACTTTTATTTTTTTATTTGTTTTTTTAGGAACAGATAAGTTCTACAGTTCAGTAATTTTGGAAAGATTAAATTTAAACTCTAAATATACATTAATAAGATCGGTATCGTGTCGTCGGTACACCAAGGCTATATAAACTGCCATGTAGAGATGCCGTAGGCACTCCACAGACTGCAACAATGGGTGTCAGATTCATATCAAGTAAAATGGTATACAGAAATGTGAAACTGATAAGCCACGATCACTTTATGTCCTGGAATGCCTTATATTGGAATATTCACCATTGATTGTAAGAGTTTGAGACACAAAGGATTTCGCAACTTCTGTTTTATTGCAAATATCAATAAGCAAAAATAGATTTCGACTTCCATAGAGCCGAAACAGGAGCGTTATATAATTTAACATCTATCATGTTATGCGCATTACATTAGATACTATTATATTTTGGATATGATATTATTATATTATGTATGTCTTCATCGGTGAATAAAATTAATATTGTATGTTTTCTCACAATGAAGGTAGGTAGACATGTTTAGATACGTTTTTAATGAGAAGCATAATCCAAAAATATACAAGTTTTACACTTTTCCCTATATTATGGTGAATTTTTTTTTTTTTATTCTTATAGACCTGAATAGCAATGACATTAGTTATAGAAACTCGTTATAATGTCTTATTTTATATAAACCATTACACAACACAAAATCATTCATGTTTTTTTTTAATTAAGATGACAATTATAGCTATTGTTAACCATGAGTGCAAATAAATAAATAATGTAATATCGCAAGGTTGAATATCATCAACTACTATCATCCTTCACAAAGACAAATTAATCTATACAACCTTAATGCTAACGTGTATATGTACATAATATATAAGTATTGTTAAAGAGACTTAGGTATCATGTTAACTACATTAGCTAAAGAAGGAAAACTTGAAACAAACCCTTTACCAAACCAGCTAGCCAGCGTGGCATAGTAGGCCAAAACCTACTTTGTAAGGAAAGGCCTGTGTCCAACAGTGGACTATTAAAGGCTGTTGATGATGATTGACTAGAATGTCAATTGACAAGTTAACTGTATGAACAATATAAGGAAAATGTATTCAACGCTAGTATTATATGGTAGGCCTAAACCTCCTTTTTAAGGAGAGGCGTATATTCAGCAGTGGACTATCAAAGGCTGTTGATGATTCAATGTTATTCGTCTTTGAATTTAGTGTACTTTGTTTGTATAATCTTACTATAATCTTTTATTCCTTATGTAATCCAGAACAGAGGTATAATGAAATTTAAAACACTTATTTTATTATCTTCGGAATACCAACAACATAAAATACATTTTCTAGAAACCAAATCTAACAACATCGTTGCTATGGACAGGCATACGCAAATAGGATGTAATCGTGCATTTATCTATGCTAATATTATAAACCGTCCGTCCGCATGGTGACGGATTGAGAATATGGGGTGTCACCACCCCTATTCATCCCGTGGGTGTCGTAAAAGTCAACTAAGGGACGAAGGAGGAGGGAGGGAGTATCAAATTACGCAGGACAACATCACTGCTGAGAGAAGGAAAATTTGAAACAAACCCTATACCAACCCGTCTGGTCAGCATGGAATACTAGGCCAAAACCTCCTTTCTAGGGAGAGGCCTATGTCCAGCAGTGGACTATTAAAGGCTGTTGATGTGATAATGATGACGAATAATGTTGGAATTAGAATCACATGTAAAAACATTTCAGCTGTTATAATAGGACTTCACTGCCTCTTGTATAGAACTGCACAAACTGCACTGTATTTGATAGATAGAAGTATAAGATAAGTATTAGATATAGAATATGACCTTGATTATTTGTATTAATATACATAATTAAGTATTTCTATAGTTTTGTAAGCGAATATTAAAATCACTACGTTGGTTAAAAATTATTTTAATAAATAAATTTTTAACAGTAAATGTAGTATTTACCTACTTTTTCTTTTATTTACTGTACCAGATAAAACCATTGTGTATGACCAGTCATAAATGACGGCTGTATTAACGTAAGTAACTGCCACACAAACGTTTACGGGCGCCACGCAATCTAGCAATAACATAAGTTACTCGTACATTAAGTACATACTATTTGATCATAGACCTAAAGAAATACTAGGTAGGTAGGTAGGTAGGTGCAAGTAATACAAATAATAAAAATAATTGGAGGGGCTCGTAGGTAAGTGGTAACCGAGTAAGTTAATTCATTTCAAAGTTAAGCAATCCTAGCCAGGTCAGTCCATGGATGACTGACCATTCTTAACACATTAAGACCCCTTCGTGCTTCGGGGAGCACGTTAAGCCGGTGTTGCCGATTGCCATGCGAACATCATTGGCAATCGACGGGTATTTGAGCCCTAAAAAGTCCGGAAATCAATCTTTTTACAGAACTTTAATACCGCCTAGTACTTGGGTTGTGAAGGTATAATGGTATTGTAGTAGACTTAAAAAGGCGACCCTAAAACCTAGTTTGGGAAAAAGACTCGGTTTTTTTTTTATTTGTAGTTGCAGTTAGCGAAACATCTGTTGTTTACCGCAATTATTTGCATTTCGAAATTGGTACACCAAAGTTGTGCCTATTCGCTTTATGAGCGTCTTTGTGCCGTTGAATAGAAAAACATAATTATGGGTTATTACTACGCAGCACTATCTAGACTCAAGTATGTGATTTATAGAGCACGGATAAACATAGGTACATTGATTACTTTTTACAATAATAATATTTTCGAACATCCAACACAACGCCATTTAAATTCAAATTAAGCAGAGCTTATAATATGAAAGCTGGATTGACTGATAGAATACTTATTTACTTTTATTTTGTAAAACATAATACCTACATAGAAAACACCCAAACTCCGAAACAAATATTTGCAGATCATACAAACATTTAGTACCATCATAAAAAAATCATCATCTTATAGTTAACAC